CCTTTCTTTTCTTGTTTGCGAGGCGTTCTAGGTAGATAAGGCAGAAATACTTCGGGATTAGTGGTGTGCCAGCGAATGCCCGAAATAAGCCTGCCAGGGTCGATGGGACAAAAATACTTCAGGATACGTGGTTTGCCAGCGCATGCCCAAAATAAATCCGCCCACATCTCCCCTAAGGTTTACTGTTGGTGTTGCCATTTCGCAATGTAAGCAGCAAGGAGTTTGCTGGGTGGTGGAGGGGGGGAGAGAAGCCGAGAGAAAAGACTCATGAGGCTAGGAACGCATTGAAGGAAACAGCATAGTAAAATAAGAATACAAATTATGAAAATAGCATATTGAAAGAGATTACGAAGCCAAGTAAAGTTAGGCAGCCAAGCAGTAAGCCACTGGGTGAAAGAATCCCAGAGGCCAGAAAATCCAACGTCCTGTTTAATGTGATGTGTAAGATTTTGCAAATGAGAGATTTGGCTTTGAATGGCTCTTCAGAATTGTCAGTAATATTGAAACAACACATGTCATTCACTTGTTCACAGCCATAATGATGAAGCATCAGCAAATAATTGATAGCACGATTTCGTAAAAGTCCATTATATAGTTCACTCTGTTCTTTATTCAAAGGGTGAAGGGCTTGAGGAGTATAATTCAGAGTTTTTGCTGCATAACAAGCTAAAGAAGTAATGTTCATACGATTCCGTACAGCCAATCCAGGGACTCCTAAGAGAGAAACAGCTAAAGAGATATATTCAAACCTACTGAGAAGAGAGACAAAAGCATCACAATCATTAGTCAATTCAATAGAGCGGCGATATCGAGAGCGGGATAAATGATGCTTCTTGGGTAAAATGATGGACAAACGGCTTAAACAGCAAGGTGTGCCATGGCTGATGTATTGCTGGAATGTAATTAAACGTATAGCCAGGACACGACCAGAAGATTTCCGGTTGAGGGGAAGTGCAAGCTTACTCATTAAATTGAATGGTAGCTTGTAATTGCTGTAGCAAGTCTCTTCCCCACAGATTGACGTGGATTTTCAGCACACAGGGCTGGATGTAGGCAATGGTTTCAGAGCTATCAGGCAGAGAAACAGGCAGCCACTGTACGCTTTTGGAAGAGGTTTGGGGGCCACCCACACCCCAGACAGCAGAGGCAGACTCAAGGGGCCACGTGGGGTCCCAGCAACTACTAGAAATTACAGAAACGTCTGCGCCTGTGTCAATCAAGCCTTCCAGCACAATACCATTGATTTTATACTTACGAAGAAGTTTCTTCTCACCAATCCTCTGGACTACAGCTAACAGCTGTGGAGGGAAAGAAGAGAGCTCGTGCAAATTAGTATCCATAATAGAAGCAGTAGGATGAGAAGGGAGCACCACCAAATGCGCCCAAGACTCACCCTTTTTAATTGCATGGGCATATGGCTCCAGAGTTGAACCATTATTGTGCCTACATAGTCAGGATCCAGAACTCCAGGAATAACCTGGATTCCTTCCTTTGCCGCAGAAAATTTGGGTAAAATTAAACCTGCGACTTTAGGAGGCAGGGGACCTGCCAATTGAGTGGGCATAAGCACAATTTCACCAGGTAGAACAGAGTCTTTGGTCTCTTGATTGATCAAATCAATGGCAAAATCAGAGGGTGTGTTCTTTGAAAAGTTTGCAGCAGCAGAAATTAAAGGTGGAAATCTCTCTAATTTTCCTGGCCCGAGAGAGAGGCCGGGATGCAGTTTCCCGAACTCCTGCATTGATTAGCCCAATGATAGCCTTTGCCACATTTCGGGCACTTTTTAGAAGGTTTAGCCTTAGAGGCAGAACCATCCTTGTGTGCCCCCCCCGCCAGGGGCTCTGCATTGCTTGGCAAAATGGCCTGGGCGCTTGCAATTAAAGCAGTTACCAGTAGGCTTAGTGGTTGCTTGGATTGCGCCGGCAAGCAAGGACATCGCATGGCTCTGGCTACCGACATCCGCACAAGCTTGAATCATATCGGCCAGTTCATATTTAGGGCGATGTATGATTGACTGCAAAGCTTTCTTGCAATCAGTGTTTGCGTTTTCAAAGGCCAATTTTTTCATCAATTCATTTTGAGCAGTGGTGTTATCAATCTGCCTAGTGACTGATTCTTTCAATCTATCTATAAACTGATGGTATGGCTCCGAATGCTGTTGCTTAATATTAACAAAGGAGCTCAGCGGTTGCCCAGAAACAGGGACTTTCCGAAAGGCGCGTTGTACACAGGTCGCGGTGCGAACAAAATGTACAGGTGTCAGTGTTGCTTGGGCAGTTATATCAGCAAACTGACCAGCGCCATAAAGTTCATTGGCAGTATGTTGCGGATCAGACAGGGCTGAAGCGCTATGTTTAAATTCACTCTCAAACACCACATACTGAGCAGGGGACAAAAGCATGCGCATCAGGTCTTTCCAGTCCTGAGGTAGCATAATGTAACCAGTTGCTATGCCTTCTAGCATCCCTGTCACATAAGAGGATTTCAGACCAGAATCAGCAATGGCTTTCCTTAATTCCCTCAGTACAGAATAAGGAAGCGATTCATAATAAATCTGCTGTTGAGCAGTTCCAGGGTTTGAATAAGAGATAGGGAAAGCAGACGGCATTTCACCTGGCCACTCAGACTCCTCCTCTAAGGACAGGAGCCCTTTTTGCCTTGCCAGAGAGAGCGCAGCACGCACAGCTCCTATAGAGCAAACAGGGGCTGTGGCAGGAGGAGGAGGGATGGGGGGGGAGGAATCAGGCTGAGGCGGAGGGATGGGGGGGGAGGATGCAGGCTGAGGAGGGTGAGACGCAGGGAGGGATTGGCTGGGCTGCAAAGGAGAAGGAGGTAAAAGTTTCGGGTAAGGGGGGGGATTGTCTGCGATGGCGAAAAGTGCTGGTGGTGAGCGAGACGCCTGTGGTAATTTAGCAACGGCATCAGCACATTTCTGCCAAGTGAGCAGACAATGAATCGGAGCCCTAGGTTCTGCAAAAAGGGTCTTTCCGATCTTTTGCCAAGTCTCTACGTCCAAAGAACCAGCCTCTGGATAAAAGGTGCATTGGCAATTAATCTCACATAGCAATTGTTCAATTTCTTTTAAGGAAATATTAACACCCACCTCCCGCTGCCTAACTAAATAAAGCAATTCTTTAGCATGCTCTTTCTGGAATTTAGTCAAGTCCCCTCTCATACTCACGAAGTAGCGCGCTGAGACTTTTCCAGTCGGGTGAAGTATGAGGTTTGGCTGCGTAAGGGATCTGGCACGTCAGGGGTCACCAGATGTTGGGTTGAAATCACGACAGACGAGTGGTTGGTGTCAAAGGAGAGACGTCTGCCGGGACAAGTCCCGGGAACTCTCTTTTATTGAATATTACAAACATTGCCACAGGTGTGCTTGTGGCTGATTGGCTGATACAAACACAAAGCATCTTGTTGCTGATTGGTTAACATAGGTACAAGGCGGGAATAACATATTACATTAATCACTGATAGTTCAAAGACTGGGAAACGGAGCTGGAACTAGACAGGCATGAAACCTCCTAATTAAATTATAACTAAAGATTGATATTGAGAGAACATAACATGAAGGAATACAACAATCACGTTCCGTAAATGTGGTCAGCAATGCATTAAGAACAGGTCAGGATACACTGTTTCATGAACTCAATGGGAACTGTTCAGAACATTCTCAGACTCTTGTGCAGAAGCAGAGAAAAGATTATGAGTGAGACTTCCCAGAATGCAAGAGTTATGTGCAGTAAGAGAACTGCAGAAAGAAAACTTCCCTTCAGCTATGGGATCTTCTTGTATGCTTTCCTCTGTGTATTGTCATTTCCTATCTCTATACTATTGTTTGGTGCTATGCTCCCTTTGTGTTTCAGTTAAGAGATGGATCGTCATTGGATGAATTAAGCATCTTGTTCTATGTCTGGAACTGTTTCAAACTCCACTCTTATTTGGGATCTGTAATGTTGCTCCCGTCTTGTGGCATAGGAGCCAACTCCTAGGGGCCATGGCCCCCACAATAAAATATTCGAAGGGACCTGGCCCCCACAAAGCTGAAGGGCATTCCCATTCAAATTGTGTGTGTGCACTGTGTCATGTGATTATGTGGGGCGGAGCTTACCTGGGCCCCCACAATATTTTATTCACGTTGGCAGCCCTGTCTTGTAAAATGTTTGCATGATTGGTGCTGATTTGGAGAAGCTCCCTTAAATCAGGAAGCAGTTGTAAAGACTAGGGAAAGCATAGAAATGCTTGGCATAACAGTGTTTTTGTCTTAATTTGGATAAGGAGTTGAACTGATTTGTAGAGCAAGATTTTGACAACTAATAAGCTTTGGGAAGAGGCTAGGAAGGTGCACCTGAAGGCAGCACCAGTGCAGAATAAACCTATGGGGGGAAAAGGAAGGTCCCTTAAGACCAGGATTTTTCTGTAGTATACTCAACAACAAGCCATTGATGTACCAAGAGTGCATTAAGTGGTGGATTTATAGTAGACCATCCACACATTCTGCTAGGTTAGTTGTTCTGCAATACTTCTCCAGTGTTACCACATTATTGCTTTCTAGAGGGGCTGCAGTCCAGCAAAAGCAGGACAACAAACTAACTAACCTCCAAAAACATTTGTGGTATAAAAAGTTATGGGACGTGTACTTTTTGGAAAGGAAACTTCAACCAGTGCAAACCATGTTGAAAGCTGTTATGAGCACATATCAGCATGAATACAGAATAAAAAGTAGAAGCAAATGTTATCTAGGAGACCACTGTAAGCAGATGAAAACAGTAGCAGGATTCTAATAACACTTGTAATATGGATTATGAAATAATATGCATTTGAAAAAGTTGACAATTGGATCCATGGAGAGGAGGGTGGGAACTCTGGTGATTCAGAGAAATCTCTAAATATGGATATGTATTTTGTATTGTTATAATTCTACACTTGTAAAATCAAATAAAAATTATGGGGGGGGGGGGGGTACAAGCAAATGAGCCTAACTTCCAACAGTGTGAAGACTGCTGCTTTAATCCTCTCTCCTCTGAACAGGAGGACACAAAAAAAGGCTTGCATTATAAAAAGTTGCCATAGATTATTTAAAAACATATATGATTATTGAAAGGTCTCTTTCTATCTCCATGGAAACGATTTCCCCTCCAGAAGCTGGGCGGCGCTGTGCAAACGACACTTCCTGGCGGCGACGCGGCTTCAGGCCCCCGGATGGCGGAGCAGGGCTCCTGTCGGCGAGAGGGAAGGCCCCCGTCCGCTTTTCCTCCTCCCGGAAGCGCCTGCGAGAAGGTGCCGGTGATTACCAGGCCGCGGTGACCAGGCCTCAGATTCGGGCAGGCGCCGCTTTGCTCCCGCTCCCTCTTCGCGTCATGGCGGAGCGCGGCGCCGGCTCTTCGGAGCACTTGGAGCGGCTGCACGAGATCTTCCGCGGCTTGCACGGGGAGCTGCGAGGAGCCCCCGAGAGGCTGCGCGGGAGCTCGGCCGTTGGTACGTAGCAGCGGGGCCCGAGCGAGCCGGGGGGGGGGGGACGGGACAAGCCGTGCGCGGACCCTTCCGCCACCGCCGCCACCCCGTCCCGCTCCCGACAAGCCCGGGTCCTGCAGCGCTGCCGTCCGGCTAGGCGTCGGTTGCTGCAAGAGGGGATGCCGTGGAGTTTACTTTTGCTGAACCCGCCTCTGAGCAGCATCCTGACCGAGACGCAGAAACGCGGCCGCTTCTCTTCGCAAGGAGCCCGAAGTGACCCGGGAGAAACTTCCTCGCTGATTTCTGCGTGTCAGGCGGCTGTCAAAGGAGGAGGACCCGTAATAATCAGAATCATAATAGGTGACCCCGCCCTCGCTTCTAAGCGTGGTTGGAATGCGGAAGGAAGGCGAAGTTGAGCGTGGAATTTAATGCAGTTAAAAAAAGAAACCTGGTGCTCAGAAAAGAACCAGAGAGATCACAACCCCAGAAGGTTGCCTCCTACCGGCCCGATCCTAGATATTTCACAGTGGAGTTCAAATGGCTATTTTAAACAGGATTCTTATAAACGTCACATTTTGCTCTAGCATAATAATAATAATAATAATAATTTTAAAATTATTTATACCCCGCCCATCTGGCTGGGTTTCCCCAGACACTCTGGGCGGCTCCCAACAGAACACTAAAAACAGAATAAAACTTTGAACGTTAAAAATTTCCCTAAACAAGGCTGCCTTCAGATGTCTTCTAAAAGTCAGGTAGCTGTTTATTTCCAGTGATCTGATGTTTGACAGTAGTTTTATACAGGGTTTTGGAGTGTCTAACTATATGCATTTTATTCCCGTAATGAAATCCAATATAGTTAATATAAGATATTCTGGAAACATTCATGAGTAACAGCAGACATGTCTCTTTGTTGTTTGCAGATCTGGATGTGTAATCCGTGCCCTTTTTAAAAGGAGACAGAAATATTGTGTGGACGAGGCCTACGCATTACAAATGTGCCCTCTATATCCTGTTGTATTACAGCTCTCACCAGCTTCAGCCAGCATTGCCAGCTCTTGGGGATGTTGGTGGTTGTAATCCATCATCTGGCGGACACCTTGTTGGCTGCCCCTGAATCTCCCATGTTACCTTGTTTGAAAGAGTGAGATCTAGTCACCAACCAAACTAATAGGCTCCCTGGCTTGGTTGAGGACTAGGAGGATAACATATCTTTTGATAGTTATTTCTAAAGTGATTTTACATGATCAGTTAATACAGTTTGACCATGAAAATAATTTTCACTGAAACAATAAGATAGTCAAAGGCTGTCACAAAAAAATGTATACACTCTTATGTTTATTTGCACTGAGAATTCCTTTTGGCATTGCTGATTGTTGTGCTAATCCCCCCCCCCCATCTTTTCTGTTATGTCTTCTAGAAGAGAAGAAGAAGTTGATTCGAGAATTTGATGAAAAACAAAAAGAAGCAAATGAAACGGTAAGGATATGAATTGTAATTGGAGGGAGAGGGCTTTTAGAACAGCTATGGCCATTCCTGGACTGGGAAGGCCTTGTCACAGTAGTTAGAGCAGAATGCTGCAGCGTGATTGCTGACAGGAGTGAGGCCTTGCCAGCATATAACACCTGTGCTCAGAGATCTACACTGGTTCCCAGTTTGCTACTGGGCCAAGTTCAAGGTGTTACTATTGGTATATAAAGCCCTTAACAACTTGGGACCAATTTACCTACAAGATCTCCTTACCCACCTATGCCCACTCAATCACCTCTTCAATCTGTAGAACTGGCACTACTACAGGTGCCACATAATACTTATTCTGCGTTTGTAAGAACCCTCTTGTTTAGTGTGGCAGCGCCTACAATTGGAACACCCTGCCTGTTGAGATCAAGCAGGTGCATTCACTGCTGAAAATATTCTTGTTTAGACAAGCCTACCCAGATGCTCAAAAAGTTGAGGTAATTTTAATGTTTTAGTATTTTAACTTTTGTATGTTTTAATATAGGGTTGTACATTTTACTGTTTTATCTTTTGTAATCAGCTTTGAGATTTTTTACAATCAAGTGCTATATAAATGTTATGAAATTAATAAAAAATATAGAGGTACGGTTGCATGCTTAAAAATCGTTGACTGACTCATCTAAGCATAATAGTGAGTGCTGTAACAAAGAACTATTTGATAATACTTTTAAAATTGTACCAAACAAAAAATTTCAGTATCTTTTCAGATTCTGCTATATTTTTAGAACTTTCTGTGTGCCGTCCATTTTCTGATTATTGCTTTTATGTTTTTTCAATAATATTTTTCAATTGATAAGAGAAACTTTTCTTCTATTTACTTTTAGTTCTGTTTTTGTCTTTGGAGTTTTCATATTATTAGGAGGGCAAAAATAAAGAAGCTTGCTGAATATTCGGTACACCATGATTTAAACGCAGGGAATTATATATCCTATTAAGAAATTTGGGTGGGGGTAATGTTTTTACAAAATATAACACAGAGTCCTGGCTTATTAGCTATCCTCAGACTTTGCTGATTTACTTCAAGGACATTTTTAACAAAGATTTTGGTATCTGCTTTTTAAAACTTGCTAAAGCTACGGGAAATGGAAGAAGAACTGAAATATGCTCCAATGTCCTTCCACAATCAAATGATGGCCAAAATTCGGACTTACAGAAGAGAACTTGCCATGTTTCAGAGGAAGATGAAAAGTACAGATTTGGGAGTGGTTCCAGGAGGACATGGAGACCCAAAATTTGGGATCTACGCCACAGAAAATGAGCAGAGTGTGAGTACTAGGTATAAATTAACTATATTGATTTTGTTTATTTGTATTGGTGACAAAGCTCTTATGGTTCTTGCTAAGTTTAATTCTTTCCAATATGTACAGAGGAGTTGTGATTGTATTTATTGCAACAATGCAAGTATATGGAAAAATACATAAGTTCTTCAGAAAGCGTAATTTCAGTAGTGCAAAATTAGTAGGGCTGACAATTTATTTTCTTCTTTTGATTTAAATGCATTTTTTATATTGACAAACATCAATAAGTTTTTTAAGAGCGCTGATAGGAAGGCACAGTTTTTCTTAAGTGGAAGAAAATAAACCACCGCTTCTTGTTAGAAGGAAATTGTATATTTAAAATGTTCTTTTTCTTTCTCAACAAATTCTGGATTAGAGAGAATATAGAATATTCTATATTCCAAAAGCATCTCTGAACTATGGCTTCCAAAATCTCTGTATGCATATCAGTATTGTGGAAGGCGCATATTTGAGGCATATTGATTTCACTCAAGTACAGTCAATAAGTTTTCTGTGGTTATTATTGTAAAGAAAAAGCATTAAGCTGTTAAGACCAAACAGTCTGGTTGTTTTCAGCTGCACTGATTTGATAGAGTTACAGTTTTGACCTCTTAGGTGTTGTTGTTTTTTTTGCACATAAATATGGGACAGACCACAAATACTATTGAAAACATTTGCAGCTTACTCATCAATATTGTTACCACAACTGGATGCAACATGAAAGAATATTCAATTAATGCATAAACAACAATTAAATACTAAATTAAATTCAGCAAAGTAAGTACAATTAATCACAGAAAGAGGCAGCTAAAAAGAGCAAGGCAGGTTTCCACAAGCACCCACTTAAAGACACTTTAAAAATGCATAAGCAAACAAATAAATTCAGCACTTAGCATATTTGTAAGGAAGGGGATACTTAAAATGGTGCATGTGTGGTTTATACTTATACATATGGCTCCTGATCTAACACATGGATTTAATTTCAGTTTTAAAAAAAGATAAGATTTGCCATATTGCATGCGCCTCTGGTATAGCAAAGAATGCAATTTGTGTTATGCTTCATTGTTCAATTCTAGTGGAGCACATCCATCTTTGGTATCTGCAATAAAACATTCACAGATTAAATAAAAAAGGGGTATGCGGATTAAATATATTTAAGATATCACATATCAACTTGGCCATAAATACCCCTTGCTTATGTAGGAGGCTTGCGATTGTGTCCTGATTGGAGTTATGCCATATGTTATTTTAGACTTCCGTGTTGCCCAGGTCAGATTTAGCAGTTAAAGCTGAAAGAGGATTGATTCTCTTTCTTTAATGTCTGTCAGGAAAGGAGCAAACTTCATTTGACAACCTCTTTTGCAATGCCAGAGGCAACACTGAGGATCTGGGGTTCTTAAAGCTTACCTGGGGGAAAGTTCTCAAAGATCTCTGTTCTCCATATTGTTATGGTATATCTTTTATTGGTTAGGACTTGTTTATGTGTGTATGGTTCATCCCATCTGCTGCTTCTTTAATGGTATTCTTGAATAATATTACATGTTGACCATTGAGAGAGCTGGAAGGAAGGAACAGAGACAGGAATTCCTTTGCTCTCATTTCTCTTTCTTAAAGAGCCCCCCACAGTGCCCACACCCCTTCCACTAACAGCTCTCCCTTCACTCCCACAGCTCCTGGTTGAATCCTGTCTCTCAGCAATTGTCTGCTCAGGGCAGATTACAGCTATATAAAATGCACTATTAAAATCAGTTAAAACAATTCATTTTTTGATAGCAGAGAGCAGTGTGAATACACCACTGCAAATGAGAGGTGGTTTGCCAAGAGATCATACGGTTATCTCCTCTGCTCCCCATATTTTCCTGCAGGAGTAGGGAGTTTCTCCATGGCAGAGGTCTCCTCTTACATGTTCCAATCCATGCCTCCTGCCAACTTGGGGAGGGGGGGGGCTGCTTTTACTGTTATGTATATAGATTTCCACAGTCACTCTTGGTTGTTAAATGCACGATTATAAAGCATGAAGGGTAGATTATTGTATTTATTTACTATATTATATCCCATTTCCCCCACCCCAAGAAGTTCAAAGTAGCACACATGGCTCTTTGCCCCTGTATTTTATCCTCACAACAATCCTGTGAGGTAGTTCAGGCTGAGAGACAGTGATTGGCCCAAGATTATCCAGTGTGTTTCATGGCCAAGTGAGTATTTGAACCCTGGTCTTCCAGCTCTCTAACCAGGGCCTGAGTTGTTTAGGTGAAGGGACAGGGAGAGACGCTCAGGTATGGAAGGAATATGTTCTCCTTACTTCTACATTAGGTGATGAAACTGCCACAATAGTAGGGCTTGGTTTGGTATAATTGTGATAAAAGTAACAATATATATTAATTATTTGTTCATAAGTTGTCTGCATTTTCATCAAAGAAAAATGATCAAGACAGGAAATACTTTTTTCTGCATGAGCCACTGTTTTTTTATCTGGGAAATATGTCTCTGTCCATTTATTTACCGTATTTCCCCCTCAGGCATAATGCACACGTCTTTGACAATGGTAAAAGCTTATACAAGCATGGAAATGGTCAAATGTTCTTATAAAGCAGAGATTTCCAGTCACCCATTTAGGCTGTGTCGTCTCACACAGACCTTATCAGAAGGTAAAATATCTTCTCTGCCTTTTAAAAATGTGTCTGAATTGTCTCTTTTAAGACCCAGCTCCAGTCTCAGAGGGTGCTGCTGCTTCAAGGAACAGAAAGCTTGAACCGAGCCACTCAGAGCATAGAGCGTTCACACCAGATTGCTGCAGAGACCGATCAAGTTGGTACAGAGATCATTGAAGTACTTGGGGAGCAGCGGGAGCAGTTGGACCGCACCAAAGGCAGAGTGAGTGGAGAGCTTTTTTTGTTGTTTCACATGTTCAGAATAAACACATGCCAATTCAAAAGCAAGAAGCTAGGGAATTCTTTTTTAAAACACATACAGTCATACCTTGGTTCTCGAACAGAATGCGTTCCAGGAGTCCATTCGACTCCCAAAACTGTTCAAAAACCAAGGCACGGCTTCTTATTGGCTGCAGGAGCGTCCTGCAGCCAATCGGAAGCCACGCAGGACATTCAGCTTCCGAAAATCGTTTGAAAACCGGAACACTTACTTCCGGGTTTCAATCATTCAGGAACCGATTTGTTTGGGAGCCAAGGTGTTTGAGATCCAAGGTATGGCTGTATTGGTAAAAACTCTGTAATGAGCACATAATTTCACATCCATCCCAAAATAAGATAAACTTCAGGGTTCCTTTTTAGATCTGCACTTTTACAAGTCTGCCCATGCATCTGATTTCCCTCAAGCCTCCTTGCTCCCCTCATGCAAGGTTTCTCTTCCCTATTTTGGGTGATTTCCCAGCTCAGCAGTCCACTTTCAGCAGCACAACTCCCATGTTTCAGGATAGCCTCTGATCCTTCAGAGAGACTTTGCAGGAGATGTGGGCTGGGAGGGAGAGAGATTGGTTCTGCAAACAACCTTCTGTTGTATCAGATGTAGGCCAGATGCAGGAATGTATCTAAAACAAGTACAAACTCCATAATTTTGTTTCTGTGCTGGCTGAATAACAGAGCTGCATGTACATACTGAAATTCTGCAGGAACCCAAGAAATGCACAAAATATTTGTTGCACTGAATCTCTGCTTACATTTTTCTAAAAGCAAGTTTTAGCCCTTATGGTTGTGAATAAATGCTTGAAATTGCGCGGCTGAGGCCTGCTGAAATCTGAGAAGCCTGCAGATTTGCTGAATAAGTTCAAGTGGCTGCTGGTGGGGCTTTGGTGTCTTCAGAGCTCATTGGCCCTCCTCGTGAGAGGAAAACCATGGCAAATTATACAAAATAAGAATTACACAAATTTGCCCAGTTAACATAACTGTTATGGGTTGAAGAACTCACAGTATGTAAGATGTCTTTTGCATTATACCTATTTGCATGTGCTTAAGCCCCATTGGGGATGTTCCATTTGAATTGCTTGGGCACAGAATCTCACCATTCTTAGTACAGAGTACACATAGCCATGGTTAAAAATGACTACTTGAGACATACTAGCCTGTGTGAACATGGTAGCAGTACAGATATTTAAAACAAGAGTTAAATCATGCCCTTGCATCGTAAGTCTATTCTTATGATGCCACACTTATTGACTGCACCTTAAGAATAAGCATTTAAGCAAATGTGCTCAATTTGCATGTGCTTGAGCCTCATTCTGTGTACTTAATTTGTGATGCTGACCTTCAGGTGCAGGTATTCGTGAGCACAAACTCAAGTTGCAACTTAATAGTAATAAATGTTGTTGTTTTTTCCTTTTTAGCTGGTGAACACGAGTGAAAATTTAAGCAAAAGTCGAAAGATATTGCGCGCTATGTCAAGAAAGTAAGATGCCACTTAAATAATCAGTTATTTTCAGACTTGAGATTGATTTTTTTTTTTTAATGTACTAAGTGCCAGCAGTCTAGTTCCAGTGTGGTTCAAATGCAGCCCATCACGTTTATACAGATTTGGCCAGTCCCAAAATGTTCCCTGGTGCCCAAACACTGCCTTCTCATCCTTGCATGGATCCTGAGTGTTGATGAAATAGCATTTTCTAAAAACTGTGTGGAGCAGGCACCATTTCCCCAAAAAGAATGCTGCCTTGAAGTGAAAACAAGCAATTACCTGCTTTGCCAGGGTGTTCCCTGTAGGAAACATGCTTGCGAAGCAGACGCTTGCAGCCATCTAATCTAAACACCCACTCATCAGCTGGTGAGTAGAGTCTAGTCCTTCTGGATGCTGCCTTGCCCACTCTTGACAGGTCAACTTTGACAGGTGGGCAGGATCAGTCACCTGAAGTCATCATGTCATATGATTGACAGGTGGACAGGGGCACCAACCTATCAAAAGTGGTCTGTTGGGGGTGGAGGAAAGTAAAGATCTCGTCCACTGAACCCAAAAAGATTCCTCCATCTCTGCGCTAGAGAGAGATTTCTGAGCAGTCAAAAATGAAAGCACTCAGGCAGCTCTTACTGTGGTTCCTTTAAATGTGCTTTTCTCTAGACTTCTTCAGTTTACAGCCTTAATCTCCCCAACCACCCAGTACATCCTAGCCCTTATATATCCCAGTTGCTAAATTGAGTCTCAATGTGAATGCAAAAGAAAGCAAGGGAATGAATGCACTCAGAAAACATTTTTTTATTATTATTGAGCTAACTGTACAAAGGGAAACATATCCAAGACAGTATTCCAGAAGATAGTGACTCTCAGTTGTGTTCTCTTGCTGAACTACAAGATACATCTATTTACAGCCACAATTAGGTGTGAAGCATGCCTATTCCTCTCTATGGTGCATATTCCAGATATTTTCAGAAGTTTCTGGCCCATTATTTGGCTAACTACATAACTGCATATAAGTACTTCATGCTTATAGGAAAGGGAGAGGGGTTATGGGAAAATGCTCCTGAAAATCAAAGGATGTTTTATGCTCATTTCAGGACAAACTTTTTTGGCAGAATGCTGAATGAGGAGAGAACATATTGCACAATTGCACAGAAGCAACCTGAAAGTTTCTGAGTGGGCACTGGATAGACTGCTGCCTTGGGGTTGCCATCAGGTGATAACAAAGCAGCATGTGGTGCTACTTTCCCAGCAGTACAGCAGGGAAGAGCTGTTTGGGGTAGTATCTCACAACTTTCAGATGATGCAAGCAAGCAAAAATGCAGTATAGACTCAACTACAGTTGCAGTGAATCATGGTTTGCTGTGATATCTGAATTGAGCTTTTATCGTGCTACAAATTTGTTTCTGTATCTTTTTTTGTGACAATCAATATTTTCTTGAAATTGTCACCTAGCTGGTTTGTCACCAGCTTTTCAAGGTGTTAACTTATTTTAATTGCTGCTTTCCTGAATGTTTACGTATTAAGTCAGATACTAATACATTTATGTGATTTTAAGTTAGCTTTTTATAAGGAATCCCAGGAACAATGCTGGTTTTGGTGAACTCAAATATAAGTTCTTGCTACTCTTCCCTTTTATTATTTCCTCAACATGGGATACAATCCTATATGCACTCACCTGGGACGAAGTCCCAGACTTTCTTATGCGTAAATACACAATAGCTTTCACTGTCTAAATATGAAACGATGCTTCTGTCTCATCTAAGTGAGAATGATTTCCATGGGCAACATTAAATGCAAATAAGATTTTTTGTAAACCCAAATAAATCTCATGTCTTATCTTTCCTTCTAGGGTTATGACAAACAAACTGTTGCTCTCCTTTATCATCATTTTGGAGTTAGTCATTCTGGGAGGTGTTGTATACTACAAATTCTTCAGCTGAATCTTCTTGACGCACACACAGCTGTTTTCAGGCCTTCCATCTATCTTAAGGACTGTATTACAATCATTGCCAAGGAACAGCTCTTCAGCAATGAAAGGAGTGGATTATATTTACTACAGTTGAAGGACAATACTGGTGTGTTGTCAAGTCTTAACAGCATGTTCGTTTGAGAATGCTGCAGGGCTACTGAGAGGAAATGTATCTGTAAAGAAAGACAGGGCAGTGAAGGGATGGTAAGTTTTTGTATAATTGCAAAGTAATAAACATTCACCTAAGCCGATGTGTTGTCTAGCTTGTAATACAGCGGTTTGGTCACGCAGTGGGAAAAGTAACTAGTCTCTCCAAAACTGGTGAACACTTCAGAATGTGGTATAGTTGGGTTTTAGCCAGTCCATTTGAGTAGATCAGCAGATCTGTACATAATGCCCCTTTGAAGCATCTGTTGATCCTTGAGGGTCCTACATCCGTACTTGCTCTTCACTGTCAGATTCATCTGGTGAACTGGGTGTTGGGAGATCATCAAACATGATGTGCGCTCCTTCTCTTGTCTGCCCAAAGCATGTAGCAATCACATCTACTGCAAGGTTAACTGTTGCATTCACTTCCTCCTGTGAATCTCCAAGCAGTGGATTTACTTCTACAAGGTCCATGGCTGAAAGCAGGCCTGGGAAATTAAAGACACTGAGTTACATGGAAGACACAGAACTTAAAGCATCACTTCAGCCAAAAGGCAGGTGTGGTCTGCGCTATATGCAACGGCATATGGGTTTTGTATGAATGAATCCAAGTTTCCGGCCATGCATTGACTGAAATAAATTATTGCCGTTTAAAAGTACTGCAGTATTTAGCATAATCTTGAATTTCCTTTTCAAACTGCAGCCCCAAAGCAATGATAACTGCTAGCCAGTTTGGCCCTGTTTCTAGGTTATGTTCTTGCCAGTAGCATGCAACATTGTTATAGAGATACTGCAAATAAGTAGTTAAATGTTTTAAATGATGCTGCTACATGGATCCTTAGTGTTTTAAGAGTGCCTAACAGCTATAATTAAACTGGATGAGTCAAGTGAGAGATATTAGGTTCCCACCTCCCCTTGCTATGGAAGCTGCCAAGGTCCTGATAATGGAAGGCTGCAAGGGAGCCTCAATGAAGGCAACTTGATGATAGAGCAGCTAAAACTATTGTTCCTGTAAGCAAGCCTCGTTTCATATGGGGAGTTTGTTAGGCGTAGCTTTTAGCTGTAATAATTTTAACATTTGAGTAAAGTTGGTTTTTGTCTTGTACTAACAAGGAAGTGCAATTTTGATGTCTGAAAGCGCCTGAGAACTCTCTTTATCCTTACTACTGTCCATTCCAATTTATCCTTGTTAATTTCCTTAGCATGGGGTGAATTAAGGAAGAGAACCAGAGCTTCTTTCTCATTTACACTCCAACATTTTAAATAAACACTGAATACTTCTGTAACACAGCTGCCATGCAAGTGCTTACTTGTATCATGTTATCCAAAGCTGAAAGTAAAATGTGCTTGTCTGGTTCTTACCTGTGTTATGTATTTCCTCTGAAATGTACATGCCTTCACGATATGTTAATCCACCCAAGACAGGAGTCCCTGTTGCTGGAGCCAGAGTTGGGTCAAAGGCATCAATGTCAAAGCTCAGGTGGATTGGTCTTTGTCCTCTGTGAAGGAGAATCACTTTATAATACAAGGTATAACCCATGTGAAATAAATCACATCATGGTAACTGGGGACTGATCAGTAGGATATGACAAGCTGATCGTTTGCTGACATGTGAATAGGTTAAGTATTTTTTGCCTAACGCCACTTCCCAAAATGTCCATCCTCAAAGAAGTTTTACCTGCCCAGAAGGTGGTCAAATGTTCTTTCCATCACTTTGTGGATTCCCAAACGATCAATATCTCTCGTTGAAAAATACTGGATGCCATAGTTCTTCAAAATATAGCTGTTTAAAAAGAAAAAAATATATAAATGTTTAAAGCTATAATGTTCTGCAACATACCTCTTGCTGATGGCAGTAGGCCGAGTACGTATTTTTTAAAAAAAATAAGAAAGATATCTCCCAGTTCAGATATCCTGTACTTACTGTTCAGCAGGGTCAACATCTCTGAGGCCAATATATACAATATCTGATCGTGAAAGGCAGGGCTTTAGCCAGGAAAATCCAGGAAGGAGCGGCACCTATAGAGGAATAGAAGAATTACCATAGTCCTGGATATTTAACACTAGGCTTGTTTACATGATGGTGTAGTGGTGATGTATAATGAACACCATACTCAACTGTGTCAATACATACACATTTGGACCTTGAAGCTGTTTTGGCCAATACGGGCCCAGCTGTCCTACACCTGACCTCATAGCACAGTGCTTTGCTTGCACAATTCAATTTCAAACAGCACAGGCAAAAACGGGTCACCTGACTGTGATTGTGGCACTTTGTGTTTGATAAGTGGGTGGCATTAACCACCTGTTTTTAGCCACAAGTTGGCATACATGGTTCTCTCTTCATTCTGATCTCACAACTCCATGAGTTGGGCAAGTCACCTTCTCTCCTTCTAACCTAAGGTCACCCAGTGAGTTTCATGGCTGAGCTGAGCATTGAACCCTGACTGCCTGTATCTTAGTCCAGAAGAACAAAAAGTATCTAGCAGTTGAAAGGGAGTTATTGCGACTGCAATATGCTGTTTTCTAAACGGGGGCTGCAAGTGAGGAAATAGTAGCACATCTTTCATGCTAAAATCATGTCCAGCATAGGGCAGGTTCTGGTGTTCCCAGCTACGTTCTATGCAGACATCAATAATAATTGAACTACCTGTCTCCTTCTGGGGCTTATTTCTATAATGTTCTGGATTTAAAATTAAATTGCTCAAGATTGTAGGGTAAGTTAAAATTGGACTTTAATGCCTGCCTTACAAACATGGTACAAAACAGATTGCATAAAATCTATTTTATAGCTGTCCAGCATAATCCCCACTTACTTTATCTTGAAGTTCTCTTAAAAGGAATGAGACTGGCTGTCCATGGAGATTTCCTGATGGGGTTGTGAGTGGAGTGTTAATGTCAGCATGTGCATCAACCCAGATCACACATAGGTGTGGGTACTGCCTTGAGTGACCACTGATTGACCCAAGCGCTAAACTGCAAAAATAAAAATAAAAAATCAGATTCAGATTTTTATCAGTCCAGTTTACTTCAAAAGTTTCTTGTATTAATTTAAGTTTGGGTTAATACACTGAGAAAATTGTGAGTTTTACAAAGGAATTTGACAGATGTACAGTATGTGTGATAATTATATAACCTGGTTCCTGATATGCTAAAAAATGCGAAATCCACAATAAATTCTACCTAAGGGTTTTTGGCGTTCTTTTTGCAGCTGTTGGAGGTTGCCTTTCTGGCAAAGCTAAAGCAGTTTACCTGTGCCTCATATCTGGTTCTTACAGGCACTGATAGATACCTTGCTGTGCCTCCTCTGAGAACAATAAATAAAACAAGTTCATTTACTAAATGAACTTACTGTGTGTGTGTGTGTGTGTGTGTGTGTGTGTGTGTACATACAGTCACATCCTTTTATAAACAGTACCCATTACTTCATAAGAATATAAGGACAGCTTTGCTGGATCAGACCAGATGCCTTTGGGAAAGCTCACAACCAGCAGATGAAGAAAATAGCCCCCCCTCCCACTATTGTTCTCCAGCAACTGGTATGGTAGAGGGATAGCTCTAGAGCAGAGTTTCCAAAACTTGGGTTTCCAGCTGTTCTTGGACTACTATTCCCATCATCCCTGACCACTGGGCATGCTAGATGAGATAATGGGAGTTACTGCTCCAAAAATAGCTGAAAACTCAAGTTTTGAGAAACCCTGCTCTAGAGGATCACAAGGCTGCAAATAAGAGACCTCCAGCGTTGGGCTTCCTCAGAGAGCTGTGCAATATCCTGTGGCCCCAGAGATGCTCTCACAGGGGACCGAAGATGATTCATATTTGCCACCGGGGGACAATAATTTAACACTTGACTGTGGCCTGTCACTTTCAATCAGTGAACAGGAATTTGAACTAACGAATCCAGTTGAGGAGTGAACTTTACCCAAAGCTTTTTGAGGCTGATTTCATTCAAGAGACTATCTTCCTCACGGATCCCTCCCAACTCACCTGTGATCTCCTCCAATGGTTACACAGCTATGACCAGCGGCAACAGCTCCATTCACCGTGTCTGCCAGAACTTGGCTAGCTGATCCCACGGAGCGTGGGTTTATGATTAGGTTGTTGTAGAGATCATCGTTGGGCACCTGGGTGAAATTTAAATCTCCAAGATCATACACCTGGCAACCTGGGGGGAAAGAAGAAAAGAAGAAAGCACGTAATTGCACTTGCCCAGTCCAGTGACAGGAAATACTGGTGGTTAGTATTAACTTGGTTAATGGAGGTAGGTAAACAGCTGCTTTGCAACCATGTCGCTCGTTATTCAAGGCTCCCATAGGACAGGCTTCCTCAAACTCAACCCTCCAGATGTTTTGAGACTATAATTCCCATCATCCCTGACCACTGGTCCTGCTAGCTAGGGATCATGGGAGTTGTAGACCAAAAACATCTGGAGGGCCGAGTTTGAGGAAGCCTGCCACAGGACTTGGGTAATAACCCCACCTTCATATTTGTAAGAGAAGAGTAGACATGTTGACCGATGTCTGGATTTTCACTGCACCCAAACACTTTATTCAGAAGCATGGGCAGAGCAAGTTTGTGCTTATGTAATTTGCTGCTGGTGCCCAGACTTTGTGGGCAGATGTGTCACTGTGTTCAACAACAGGGCCTGCCACTGAATGGCTTTGCCACCATCCCATAGGTCACACCCATGGCTGCTGCGTTAGAAATACAGTCAGTCTGTGCATTCCCCTGAACCAGTCTCTGCTTCAGCTCCTACACACACCCTCTCCTTTGGTTAAGGTAATTGGACCTCAGCAGTCCAGGACTTGCAATACCACTCCTCTCTTTCATCATTCCCTGATGAATGTCATCTTCCCTTGGACTTCGGGAAACCCTAAGCCTTTGCTATTTATAGGCCTAATATCTATATGGTGTGAAGTGTTTGCAAGCCCCTGCTCCCATTCTATGGCTGCCTACATGTTTGAATAAGGAAATATTTCCAAAACAAGGACATAATACCACCACTGTTTCTATCTTGATTCCTGCCCCCTACAAACTTAAGATTTAATCAGATGGGAGTATAGTCATTTATAGGAAACCTAGGATAGCTCAGTCGGGAGAGCATGAGACTCTTAATCTCAGGGTCATGGTTTCAAGCCCCACATTGGATGAAAGATCATTGCATTGCAGGGGGTTGGACTAGATGACCCCCATGGTCCCTTCCAACTCTACAATTCTATGAAAGCTTCACTATAGCAGAAAAACAGATTAAAGACATATTAAAGTGAAATTTAAATGTTAACTGAATCCCCCTAAACTAACTTTACAGTTCTTGCTTTAGCTTGTTACTTTATACTGGAAAATTGGATCAATATTTAAAATATTCCTTATATACACATCATTCTTTTACACGGAACTCTCCATGATCTCGCATCCAGAGTGCTGACCAGATCCGCACTTCCTTAGCTTCAGTAAAGCTATAGCTTCCGGTGTTCTTGGATTAGCCATAAATTAAGTATTTTCAGTTAACAAGACCCACTCCCCAAAATGATGGGGTAATCCATGTAGTACATTTAGTGTGATTATTACATAAGTGCAAAGGGAATAACAGCACAGACACACAAAACACAGTTAAAGATTAACAAAATGAAGACTGGTCACCAAACCCACAGTGCCTATATTTTTGGCACTGTGCTCTCTTTATCTCAAAAGGATGATCAGCCAGATAAAACCCACATCATTTGGCAATACAATGCATTCAAAATCAGTCAGTCTACAAACTTCAAACCTACAAAGTTGCATCACAACCTGATGCAATGGCAGTGTACTAGGTCATCATGTGCAGATAGTGTTACTGTGCTGAAGCCTTGAGACAGTCATCTGACACCAGGCCTGCCTCTTCTATAGGTTGGCTGCACAAGGAGTTTCTGGCAAGGAGCCAGGAGAAAGAAAAAGTGTAATTATGAAGCCATTTATATTCAGCTAGTTTCACTGACTTTAAGGGTTTTTTTTCCTCCCTCCTGCTTTTTGTTTGGAGCTCTCCCCTGAACAAGACCAAATAAATGGAAAACCAGGGAAACGCCCATGTTCCCATGATCAGCATTTATCTATCCTATGAAATCTGAGCTCTGTCCTGAGCAGAAATTATACTGATGTGTCAATACTGTATGCCGATTGCTCAAAAAAGGGGGGAATTGGCACTTGCTTTAATCTTTGATTTAATCAATACTGCAGGGTGTGTAGCAGGGGCTCCAGCTATGGGGGGCAGAAGAGGCTTCAGCCCCCTCAATATTTCTAGGGTGCTGCCGTCCCCCAGCACCTCCGGCGAGTGCAGGAGGCGTGGAGGGCAATGGAGGGCGATCTTCACACTCCCCATCACAAATGGGACACCTCAAAGGGACACCAATGTGTCCTGGCCAGGGTGGGGAGTGCTGCATATGTGACGTCATGCATGCTCAATGCCCCCTCCTCCAAATTTTGGGACCAGCTCTGCACGTCTGGTGTGTAGGTGATCTCAATTGCATGTGAACCTTATAGCTTCACTTGCTTCCAAATTATCAAGTCTGGTTAAAGCAAAACTGAAATGGCTTGTGCTTGACAGCTATGTAAATTAGGTTTTCAAGCCAATTTAAGCAAAGGAAAAATTCCTAGCTATGCAGAGACACCAATGGGTGTATTGCACGTTATGTAACAGACTCTGATGTTTATGTATGTCAACAGAAATGTTACAAAAGAAAACTCCAATGTGGCACTGATAAGTTGATTCATTGGCAAGCATGACAACAATGTGACAGAGGCTCAATAGGAACAGGAAGTTGAGACGACATTATAGAAAGCAATTGTCCCCTTTTCTATGTTTTTGTGTACGTACTCTATTCATCTTGCTTTGCAACTTCATCATAAGTTGGGAGTGAGTCACAACTGCTCTTCCATTTTTTTGAATGGATCTAATTTTCATTTGTGAGATACATAACAATACCTTGTGGCTCTGGAATTTGTAACTGCAAGGTTTGCTCTAACATAACCAAGCTGAAAAGATTAGTTAGTGAATCATGTGACAGAATTAACCTTGTTTCCTAACAAGAAGCAGAGGTTAAATCTGCACTTGTCTGGGTTGCAAGGATTGCTCAAGAGAAGCATACTTTCATCAGTTGATGACATCACGTTTACCATACTTCACAAGTCACAGCCACTTTTTCAAGCTGTACTTCTCTAAACTACTGAGAAAGAGCTTTCAGTTATGAAACTACTGCTGTTAAGTCTTGTCTGTACTTCTGTATCAGAAGGAGGAAAGCTGTACCAATCTACAGCAAAGGCAAAGTATCTAAAGGTGCTACAGGATTTTTTATTTTTTAGTTACCAAATACACTTGGAGCCACTGCTCTTCATTTTTCAGCAGCTTTATAACAAAGCTTCTTTTTGTTCATCCCCCCCCTCAAAGAACAGATAAACAGAATCAATCTCTTCTGAAAGGAGTGGAAGAATACACATGACAAAGAGCAAAATTTGGTAAATTTTGAAGCACTTATATGTGTTTTCCAATGCACTTTTGGATGTTCCAAATCCACCCCAGATTAAGGTTACCAGATTTTTTTCAAAGAATCTGGGGACACTTTTTATTTTTGAAAAGAGAAAAAAAGTTATTTTAAAAAAGTTATTTTTAAAAAATATTAAGAAGTAATATCTTCTCTTCTGCGGTCTCCTGTCATGCGGCCTTCCTCTGGGCCCCGGCCTCCTCTCTTGGAGTGCTACCCGCCATGGAGTAGGCTCAGGTCGGGCCTGGGCTCGGCCACTTGTCCTTGCCCTCCCAGTGCCCTCCTACCTCTCCTGCTCAGTGGCAGCTGCGGCGGCAGCAGTGCGGCAAGGTTGGGGCTCCCCTCTTTTTTCTCCCTCCTTTCTCTCTTCCTTCTCCTCTTCTACTCCTTCTCCTTACGTCAGCTCCAGGGTTTTCCTGGCCCCGGAGTGCCAGTGGGCAGTCAGCCAGGTGGCTGGGCACTCTTGCGCCTGGCTCGATTTGGGTCCCATGGAGGGGTGTCAGCAGTTCCCCCAGTTGACACACTGGGTGTCCCTGGCTCCCCCTTGGCAGTGGCAGTGCCAGCAGCAGTCTCAGCAGCCTGGAGCCAACCTGGTAGCACAGTTGGCTCTGGCTGGCTTCAGAAGCAGCTCGCTGCCATGGTGCCCGCCATTTTGCCTCGCTGGAAGTCCTCATATGAAGTGTCTTGTGCCGTTGAACGAATCACACAACATTCATTCCCTACTAATAAATCTACCACACTTAAAATATAAATCCGGGGATATTAAATGAAATCCGGGGACATTCTGGGGACGGATTTTGTCCGGGGACAGATTTGTAAATCCGGGGACTGTCTCCAGGAAACGGGGACGTCTGGTAACCATACCCCAAATACCAGCAGTAGAATGCAAACAGGGCCAATGCATAGCTCAATTGCAAGTCCTAACTCATAGCTATCTAAAGCGGTGGCAGGCAGTTGCCTAATCCATAGACTACTTTTTGCATACAGTCGTACCTTGGAAGTCAATCAGAATCTGTTCCGGAAGTCTGTTCAACTTCCAAAACATTCGAAAACCAAAGTGCGGCTTCTGATTAGCTGCAGGAAGCTCCTGCAGCCAATGGGAAGCCACAGAAGCTCCGTCGGATGTTTGGCTTCCAAAAATAGTTCTCAAACTGGAACAGTGACTTCTGGGTTTGTGGCGTTTGAGAGCCAAAACATTTGAGAACTAAGCTGTTCGAAAACCAAGGTATGACTGTATTTGCAAGGAACACAAGTTGGTCTAAACATTTTCCCTTGTGCTTTGATCTTCTTGCTCAGAAAGAAGCTGTAGTTGCACCTTTCATACAACATCAAAACCCTTTTCCCTCACCATATTACAGCTGGAGAGGACTCCAAGGGCAGATTAAATTTGGCTCCAGACTGAGGATACTCCACTCCTGCTTTCAAGGCACTTTTGGAACACAACTAAAAGGGTACTGTACCACAATGGATTTTAGCTGTGCAGTGTTACTTCAATGCCCTCTCCTTTCCTTGCATGCTGCCCGCCCCCCTGCTAAATCTGCTCTGGGGAATTCTCCTACCCTCTGCAGCAGATTTAGGGTGTATGTGGGGAGAGGAGAGGGGAGGGAAGTGACTCTAGCTTTTAGCTACACAGCATAACTATTTAGTTTAATACCACCCATGGAGTTTTGTAGCAGATTTTGAACAGCTGATGGATCTGCATAGTTAGTTGCCTAATCTATATGGTGGTACCTTGGTTTATGAACTTAATCCGTTCCGGAAGTCCGTTCTTAAACCAAAGCATTCTTAAACTAAGGCATGCTTTCCCATAGCAGCAGGGGACTCAATTTACAAATGGAACACACTCAACAGGAAGTGGAACATGTTCATATTCCAAGGCAAAGTTCACAAACCAAAACACCTACTTCTGGGTTTGCAGCGTTCTTAATCCAAGTTGTTCATAAACTAAGCTGTTCTTGAACCAAGGTACTACTGTATATGCTTTGACAATCATTTGAAGTATTTTCACAATTCACACTGTATGTTTTTTGAAACTCACAATATGAAAAAAACTGTACACTGTTTGTGAGGATGAGTCAAATGGCTATAACAAACATATCCAGATCAGACAATTAACATTAAGATCAGTTCAGATGGCAAATGTTTCAATATGTTCAATGTTTCAGGAAACTGAGATGCCTGATCAATCAACTTTTTTCATTCCGGATATAATAGCACAAATCCAATTTTTGTGTGAATTGCAGGTAGGGTACCTGTAAGAAGGTGACTAATGCTGAGTCACAGAAAAATAACTACACTGATTTAAAAGGGTTTGGCTAAAATGACAGCTGTGCTGCCAATTACATAACTTTCTGGAAATCAGGCACTGCCAGTAGAAGAGACTCATAAGGGACATTACCACATACCTCTCATTCATCCATTCATTCACCAAAACCACAAAAGGAATATGCTAAGACTTAGCATCGAAAGAAGTCCAACTCAACACAGTGAATTCAAGTTATTGGATGCAGAAAACTATGAGCTTTAGGCCTGGTTTTGGTAAATAAACAGCTTCAGTCACTCTGTGAGATTACTTCTGCTGGAATAGACATGGGCAAATTGTTGATTCTCCAATACCACAAATGCAATATAAAAGTAATATTAAATCTTGATTCCTTGGCTGGTCATAGAATGAGGTAGCTGTGCCAGCCAGGTTTTTTTTTGGGAGGGGGGGCATGACAATACATTGATTTGTTAAATCATTTAATTTATTATGTTATTATATTTTTACTCCCAGGAAGAGGCACTTGTAGGATTTCCCCCCCATTGCCAAAATTGGGTATTAAGTATCTTGTTGCGGGGGGGACTTTTGTTGTTTGCCTCCTAAGTCGAGTGTGAATTTCATGCTCTTTATTCAGCTCATAATAGCAATGAATTAAACTTTCCCCAAAACGTCTAGCCGTATATACATTATTTACACAATGGGCCCCGCGTGATTGGCTAATTTCGGGCTGCTCCTTTAGGCCAATCAGGTCGCTGATTCACTTCCACCTGGATTGGGTGGCTCCTGTGGACCAATCAGACTGCTGAATTCTGGATCCTATTGTTCTAGGATTCAGTACATAACACCTCCCATCAAAATGTCTTAAGCCAACTGTGCCTTAGGGCAGCTTCTGCTTTTATTTGAATCCAAAATTCCAAAAAAAAAAAAATTATCTAAGCTGAAATAAGGACATTGCCTCTGGCTACACAAGCATTTCATTCTCTGCATACAGACAAAGAAGAAAATTCCTGAGGAGGAAAGGGAAGGTCACTCTAGGAGCCTCTTGAGTTCCTTTGCCTCCTTATTGAGAAGCCCGTCAGAGGACACATGCCACCTCTTTCATATGTACATCAGGCTTCAAACTGAGAGGGTTTTCCTCTCAAAGAAAGGAGGTTTGTATTTCTGCAGAGAGTGCCAAATCTCTCCCAACAGCTAACTTTTGCATTAAAGAGACTCAATCAGTCATGGGGGTGGGGGAGAACTCACTTACCTTCTCTATGAAAAGCAATTGTTGGGGATGTAGCTTGGTGGTACATACTGAAGGTCCCCCGCATCTCCAAGTGGGACTTGCCTGAAACACTGGAGAGTCGCTATGTGGACAAATACTGAGCTGGAGCGATCAGTGGTCTGACTGGGTCTAAGGCAGCCTGCTATGTTCCTACGGGAGAGGCGGTTTCTTTCAAAATAAACCTCTTACTTACCCATGCCAGTCAGCTTCCCCACCAGCCCTGCATTTCTTATGGCTGCTGGACCGTGATCCACTCCTCTCCTTTTCTGGAGGAAGACAAAACAGGAAAGGAGCGGTGATGCTATGCGCGCCTCCGGGAAAGCGGAGAAACGGACGCCGCTGAGTCACAGCGCCGAAAGAGAAGCGCGTGGAAATTTCCACGCTCGGGAAGCCGGTTGCCCGGTGCGCGCAGGAACACTCCCCCGCCCGCAGCTAACATTGCTCCGACCGTCCTTCCCTTTAAAGATATACGCATCTTAAAACACCCCCCAGCCAAAAAATATCACTGTGCGGATCTTAAGGATTCCATCCCTGCCCCAATGACCACGTGCGGTCCTCCTCCAGCATTATGGCGAAGCGTCACTCGCCCCAAGGAGGGCTTGGGCCTCACGGATCACCCCCAGGCGGGAGGGAGGATGCTGTCCTTTTAGAACGTAGTTTAGTTAAACCGCGGCCTCCCTGGTCTTAGTCCAGCACTCTAACCACTACACCAGACTGCCTTTCCTTTTCTGTCTCCCCTCCCCTTGCCCCCCCCAGCTCTGTTCCTCCTACCTGCGCTCGGCTGCAATAGAGCTACAGCCTTTTACCTTGAGTGAAGGCCCACCTATCCCTCTGTCTCCAACACCCAAACACCGCCTCGTCCCCCCCCCCCGCAGTGCTCACTCACCTGTCCCCTGGAGAAAGGGGCTCCGATGAGGGCCACCGAGTGCGCCGGTCTCTTCTGGACTTGTATCGAGGAGCCCGCCTGCTGCTTGAGGAGCCGCGCGAAGCTGCTGCGAAGCGACATGACGGAGGTGATGATGTGCAAAGCACCGAGGAAGAGGAACCGGACCGCTCGCTCCTTATAAGCAGCCGGCTCCGCTAGCTGAGCAGGCGAGGCAGCGCACACGCCCGGCCCTTTCCCCGCCCCGATGCTTCTTCGCCCGCCCCCTGGCCGCCTCCCTGGGCTGCTCTCGCCATCCGGCCAATCGCCGCGCAGCTCCGCGGAGGTGTGCCTCCGAGTGCCCCCGGGGATGCCGAGACCCCGGGGCAGAATCGTGACCAACCTGCTTTGGCTGCCTTTGGGACGCACGTCCCCCTCTCTCCACACACCCCTCCCGCACACACCCCTCTCTTCTCCTGCTGCGGGTCGCTTGCCCTTTCAGAGTTATTCCATGCACGCCATGCTCATCTACATTTCTTTTAAAAATATATTTGTACTCCCCCCCCCCACGCCCGTCCAAAGGGTCAAGCAAGACATTTCAAAGACCATTTGTGAAGCCTGGACGGTTCACACTGAATTGCATCATCTCTCAATCTTCAAGCAAAGAGGTGCGTTCGGACACACCCACCCACACCCCTTTTATATACCATCTTTTCCTCCAGGAGATCAAGATATTGTACACGGTTCTCCACCCCCACCCCCATTTTATTCTCACAACACCCCTGTGAGGTAGGGTAAGCTGAGAGACTGTGGCTGGCCGAAGATCACCCAGTGAGCTTCATGGCTGAGTGAGGTTTCTAACCAGGCCCGAGTCCAACACTCTAACCACTCTTATCACTGACCCTCACAAAACCATAATCCACACGGGCCTGAGGATTGGAAAAGATAGCATAGCTAGAGGGAAGAAACGCTACTACATACTCCCACACTGCAACTGTTAAACCATTTTTGCTCCATTACTATTTCCAATGCTATGGCTTGGATGTTTTAGGGGTTTCCGTTGTTCCCAGTCCTGAAATCTATTGAAGGATGTTACACAAGTGCTTGAAATCAATCATCAAAATAAAGGTAAGAAGTAAAGAAATGGGATACTTTAATTCCAGTTAGAAGTCGTAGGATTGCAGTGGGAGAGAAATCTATCGCCTTGCTTGAGGAACAGGGGCTATTCCTGTTTCTAAAGATATTTCCTTTGCCTTCTTGAGTAGCACCCATTGCCGTGCAGGATCTCGAAGTCTTCCCGCCCTACAATCTGCTGCTTGGACTGCAGGCGCGGGGCATGAACCCAGTACCTCGTCGTACGTGCGAAGCGTCGCCCCTCGCTGGTCCGCCCTGGGAGTCCCGCCTCTACCGCCCCCGCCCCCAGCGCTAGGTCCCCGAGATAGGGACGGGGCAGCCGGACTCCAGCCAGCTCTCCGATTACCAAAGCTGGCCGCCTTCCAATAAAGAGCCCGGGACCACTTCCTATCTCTCGATTGCCATCTCTGGAAACGTCCTCGAGCCAGTTCCCACCCGGCTCCTTCTCTATATATCGGCAATTTTCAAAGTTTCGCGGTCTAATCAAAGCACACTACCTAGTTCGTTCACACACACACACACACACAGAGAGAGAGAGAGAGAGAGAGGGAGAAAAAAGTACCCGCCTCACAATTTTTCTCCTAAGGAAAATAATGATGAAAGGGCGCGACTGACATGGATCATCTTAAACAGAGGCTGCTGTGAAAAGCGCAGAAGCCGCTATTCTGCAGGGTCCCCCCCACCCCAGAACTTGGGTCTTGCCGGCTGCCACGCGCCCATTCTGACACACACGCGCGCAACTCCTGAGTCACACAAAAGGGCCTGGAACCGGCAGCGCGCAGCATTCCGGCCCTGCCATTGCCCCAGTTCGGAACTCTGCCTTGCGCACTCGAAGCACCCTCCCAGCTCTCCTGGGCTTAAAGGAGTGGATATCATAGAATTATAGAATTGTGGAGTTGGAAGGGATCACGAGGGTAATCTAGTCCAACCTCCTGGACCAGAACCCATGGTCCTGAGATTAAGAATCTCATGCTCTGCCAACTGATCTATCTATCCAGTGCTTTTTTTTCCTAAAAAAAAATGTTTAGTGGTACTGTACTCTCATTTTCCTGCCAACCTAGCAGTTCGAAAGCAGGTCAAAGTGCAAGTAGACAAATAGGTACCGCTCCGGTGGGAAGGTAAACGGCGTTTCCATGTGCTGCTCTGGTTCGCCAGAAGCGGCTTAGTCATGCTGGCCACATGACCCGGAAGCTGTACGCCAGCTCCCTCGGCCAATAAAGCGAGATGAGCGCCACAACCCCAGAGTCGGCCATGACTGGACCTAATGGTCAGGGGTCCCTTTACCTTTATTCTCATTTTGCTACTCATATTGAAATATTGCTGCTCAATGAGGCCAAACTTAGATTCACAAAATGTTTAGGGGTATGCGTACCCCTGGAAAAAAGTCTGCTCTCTCTCTCTATATATATAAATGTGTCACTCAAAAGTAAGTCCTACTGGTTTACTCAGCCAGGTTTACTCCCAGAAAAATGGTGTAGCATTGCAGCCTCAGTATAGTTCCACAAACTTAGTTTTCTCTGAATGTTATCATACTCCTAATTCATAGGTTCCTCTGAGTTAGATTTAAAGATATGAAACTACCTTATATTGAGACACAACTATGCACTCTCCAAATCAGCACTAGATTCCTCACTTCATGGAAACCTACCATTCAGGACATGGAAAAACACCAATCAATCTTGTAATTATCACGACTTGCTAGTGGATAATTCAGAGTAATTAAAACAAACCTACCCTGTAGGCTGCAGCTCAGGGTCTGGGAATCTGTCACCCTCCAGATGTCAGCTGTTTACACACCATACATTTAAAGCTTATTTAGAGCACATCTTCCCCAAAGAATCCTGAGCACTGTAGTTAGTTAAGGGTGCTGGGAATTTTGTTTAAATTGTACCCTGGATATTTCGGGTTTTTTTGTTCATGTAAATTTTAAAGAACATGAATGTATTTCATGTTCTTTTTATGGTGAAGATACATCCTAGACTTGTTAAGTATATAAAACAGACAAGATAGAAATTGCAAAATAAGTGCAAAACGTCTATCACATCATAACACACATTTAAAAGTTACAATTAATAGAAAACCTGAAACAACAGAGCAATATAATGAATTTCGTAAGTCTATATGCAACTTAATATAGAAACTGATAGATGTACTAATGCAACTGCCATGGTAGTAAACTCCGAGGTTGCTGTTTGGTGTAAATAGCAAGTTTGATTCTACTCTAAACAGTGAAGGTAGCCCTTCTATTTGTTTCATCCACAGGAGAATATTACAATGAATAATAGTGAAATCCATGTTTACCTGGAAGTACCGTAAGTCCAACTGCATTCAGTGGGTCTTACTCCCAGGTAACAGTGCATATAGCATTACTGCACATAACTCCATCTTTCCAGGAACATCTGCACGCTAGTTGTCCCACAAGAAAATACTTTAGTTTCATCTCCAATGAGCTCCTGATTTAGTTAAGCTGGGGATGACACACAGGGTGCAGGAGGAAGGGGGTAGTTAGCCCACCCCACCCCAAAGGAACCATAACCCCCAGATTCCCAGCTTGTTTGTTTCTTTTTTTAAAAAAGAGCAAGTTTTGCAGAAACTGAGGCATGAGGAAAAGTGTCCAGGCATTATTCTTCTGACCTTTTTTGTGAGAAACTAGCCTACTCTCTTTCAGTGTTTTATTACCCCGCTCAGGGCTGGATTTAGGTTTAATGAGGCTCTAAGCTACTGAAGGTAATGGGGCCCTTTATATGTCCAGCTGTCCTTTGTCAACAACAAATTGTTGCTGTTTTTTGTGTGTTGAATATATGCTATATGGTAATTTATGGAACTAATAGGTATTTAAAGCCATTTGCACATAACAAAATATGTATTTTATCAAAGTAATTGTTGAGCTGAAATACAATTAAGAAGTATATTAATAGTGAAATACAATAGTGAAATACAAGAGAGTGGGGCCCTAAGCTATAGCTTGTTTAGCTTATATGGAAAAAAAGTTGTGGGGAATTTGCTTCCGAGAGTCTACTTGAAATTCTTTGCCACAGTATTTGCCCAAGAATCCGGTAGAAGAATTGGACTTGCATAAGAATAAGAACATGGGTGGTGCTGTGGGTTAAACCACAGAGCCTAGGGCTTGCAGATCAGAAGGTTGGCGGTGAGCTCCTGTTGCTCGGTTCCTGCTCCTGCCAACATAGCAGTTCGAAAGCACGTCAGAGTGCAAGTAGATAAATAGGTACCGCTCCAGTGGGAAGGTAAACGATGTTTCCCTCGACCTAGAGAGCGAGATGAGCGCCGCAACCCCAGAGTCGGTCACGACTGGACCTAATGGTCAGGGGTCCCTTTACCTTTAAGAATAAGAAAGGGACGGGAGAAGTTATAAAATGGCATTCTTTTCCTTTTTAAACTGGAATTCTTAACAGGTAGATAGCCGTGTTGGTCTGCTGTAGTCAAAACAAAACAAATAAATAAAATAATAATAATAAAAAAATAAAATAAATCCTCCCTGTAGCACCTTAGAGACCAACTAAGTTAGTTATTGGTATGAGCTTTCTGAAGAAGTGTGCATGCACACTAAAGCTCATACTAATAACTAACTTAGTTGGTCTCTAAGGTGCTACTGGAAAGATTTAAAAAAATAATAATTAAATTTTATTTTGTTGGGATTCTTAACGTTAGGTAACATTCGTTGCTGACGTCATCCTTTACCTCAGAATTTACATTTTGCGCGTCTCTTTGAGTCCCAGGCATTGTCTGGTCCCTGCCGAAGCGTGACCAGACAAATGGCCAGCTTAGGTGTAGCCTGGGAATGAGAAGAAAAGCGCGGACGGATATCATGGGCTGAGAGGCGAGGCTCGCAGAAAAACATCCCCTCCTCGCTCGCCGGGCGGCCAGCACAAGAGACAGCTCCTCGCCCAGAAGGAGGAGGAGCTTCGCTACCATCGAGTTGGTCGGAAACTAGAGCGGAAGGCGGGCGGGAGGACGGTGGTGGCCGTTCTGCGCGCCTGCTGGGGCGTTCTCGTCGCTCCCTGGAGTGGGGGATGGCGGAGGAAGAGGGGTACCTGGCCCTGTCCGGGGAGCGCATCACGCTGCAGCGCCTCCACCACAGCGCCTCCTGCCGGGAGTTCCAGGTGCGCTGCCCGAGGCTGCAGCTGCGCTCGCTCAGCGCCGTCACGTGCTCCGTGTGGCTGGTGGCCTACGGGCTCTTCGTCCTCAGCCAGGTACGGAAGAGGCTTTGGCCGCCTTTTGCCTACGGGCTCCGCCACGTGCCGGTAGCTCGGGGACAGGGACTCCTAAAGGTCCCGCTTGAGGGGTGCCCCCCAAGTATTAGAGCAGCCACTTCACCCCGCGACTCTTCCGCTCCCCTCTTTCCCGACCCCCGTGTATGGCAGTGAGTTCCATTTAATCCAAAGGGATTCACTTCCGATTCACGGTGCATAAGGGTTGCAGCCATGCAGCGCAACTCTTTGTGCACAATTGCTCAGAAGGCGCCAGGCAGAGACTTCTTAGTCTCTGTCGACTTAGGCAGCGAGAGAACAGCATGCTTGACTAGATCCAGCAGCGCTGTTCTTTTATGTTTCTCCAGTTTTGAGATGCGGTTAACCAATGGAGTTTTCAAAAGGGGTGTGTGGCCCTTATTGCACATTAATCTCCACAGTAACTTTGAATAAGTTCCTTCTGCTCGCCAGCAGCCCCATCCCTAACAGTGCAGACCTGTGCATGATGCTTACTTGGAAGAAGTTTCAGTAGGCTTAGAAAATTGCAGTAGAAAGCTTTGTGGGATTCTATGGAAGATCTAGTCCTGTTCCTAGAACAGTATTTATCTCTGACACATAAATATTATCATAGCTCTAGGGAACTGGAGTCCGTTAGTAAATGGTAGAAATGAATGACCAGTTGTATTTAGATAATATTTGGTGTATTGAAGGGTGGATTCCAGGCCAATGGAAAAATACAGGCTAAACTCCCTTTCCAAGCCAAAGCCTCACCTCAGATAGAGGCTGTTAACATGACAAAAGGTGTTTATGGCCCATCCCAGAGAAATCCTTGTCTGTGCAAAACAGTTGCCGTGCTTACTGTGGACAGAGAAAAATTTAGGATTAAAAAAGGGGGGAGGGAGCAGGCTATACTCAAAGGAAAGATGTGCCTTTTAAAAACTAGGCTTGGAATATAAGACAGATGGGGAGGTGTTGCCTGGAGCAGGGGACACCTGGGATCAAGAAAGGAAGTAGAGAGAACACCATGTGGGGGCTGAAGGACAGCAGCTATGAGAGCTGGCTGGGAAGCAAGAGCAAAGGGATGGTGCTTAGGATGGCTCTGGCTGCACTACTGGGCTGCTATGAAGAACAAGCTGCTCTTGAAATGACAATGCTGTAAGATCTACACCCCTTTCATATAAACTCAGTTGTAAATATGTGTAATTAAACCATATTTCTTAAAAGACACTATAGTCTTCACCGTATTTTGATTCTCATTGGAAACACAACCTTGGGTGAGCACCTGGAACCTTTGGAATCTCATGCACTGCTTGGGCAGAGATTGGGGATGGCGTGCAACCTTTGTAACACTATTTCCTAAATTAGTCCAAGTACCTAGAAGCATGCAGCCTATGATAATCATGCAGAGAATAGACTACCACCGCAAAAGGACAGGAGAGACCCTATTGTGTTTCTTTCCAAAGTTAAGTGTTATAAGAAAAAACTGCTCCTTTTCCCTTATGGGATATCCAAGAGCCCATATAGAGTCCTTATGTAGGTTCTCTTGGTAGGAGAAAAATACAGTGGCACCTCAGGTTACAAACACTTTGCTAACCTGGAAGTAGTACCTTGGGTTAAGAACTTTACCTCAGGATGAGAACAGAAATCGCACGGCGGCGGCGCAGCGGCAGCGGGAGGCCCCATTAGCTAAAGTGGTACCTCAGGTTAAGAACGGTTTCTGGTTAAGAACGGTCATCCGGAATGAATTAAGTTCGTAACTAGAGGTACCACTGTAACAGAGGCCAACCAGAGAATATTGAGAAGCAAAGCAGCTAGTAAGCCTGATCTTTGTTGCAACAGGGTGCTCACCCTCCCCCAACACAGGAGGAAGGAGGGACCCAGAACATTGGTGTGCAAGCTCTTATATAGACTTCTGAAATTGCCTACGCTGTAGCTCAAGACCACCCCCCTCAAACATCATACATACATCACAGAAAGAGGTGGTCCCCAGCAGAAATTTGAGTGTGTTGCTTCTCTCCTGTCTGCCAGGATACATGATAGTGCCTTATCTGATTGCCTTTTCTGTGTCCTATTGTGTATCTTTCCAAAGTTAAGTATGTTTAGGTGTGGGATCCAGTCTTGCCCTGCCTTCTCTGCTCTCTCATTCCTGGATTTAGAAAGAATTTTTTTGAAAATCTAGCATGGTCTGATAGTAGCAGCCTGTAAATTTACTGCACATCCTCAGTATAAGAATGTGCATGTTTTAAAATAGTAGACAACAGGTAAGCTAGACTACAATTCTGTATACATTTACTTGGGAGTAAGTCGTATTGAGCTTCAACAACCTCTTCTATTAAAAGAAGGTCAGTTACTCAGAGATTGTAACTTTTTCAACTAAATTAAATTTCTATATGCTGGAAATAAATTCTGGGTTGTGTAGAGTTTTACCTAAGTATTCATATTCAGGGGGAAGTACAGCGCTTGCTGTGTAAGTTATGTTTACCCACCATGTCTCTGGATTGATTGGTTCAGAATTATTAACTAGGACTGCAATCCGATGGACACATTTTTGGGAATGTCAACAATCCTAAGGTTGTGCTGTAGCTTACAAAAAGCGACATCTCAGGAAGATATTAAATTATGCAAGAGTATTCCAGAAACGAAATAAATGAAAAAACCCTATATGTTCTTTTTGGAAAGATAAAAAAGTGAAAAGCTGTCCTGTGGTTTGATATGTTCAAAGAATGGTCTTCTGTGCCAGCATAGTCTCTAAAATATCTCATTTCTCCCTATAGTTGTTAAAGTTGGTGCCTTTTTATATTTTTTGGTACCCCATGTTCTTACATTATACTGTACTAATAGAGTTTACATGTGCTTTTTAAAACATAATTGATTTATCTTCATTTACCAATAATACATATATGAACAGGAACCATTAAAATACAATTAGATAAACAGTGCAGGTGAGAGAGGTGAAAGTCCATTCTCTTTATTTTTATATTTATCTATGGAAAGTCTATTAGATGTCCAGGCCTCTTTTCTGTTCATTACACTACTTCATAAGATTAATCTATGATTGATTTTGTTTCCCCCTTTTTATCTCTAAGCATAAGGATGATTATACTTAACCTTTTGACATGCATAATGCACAATTCAGTTGCTGTGATCTCACTCCATATTGTTCAATAGCTGGAATGTTAGGCTGCTTCAAGTCCTTTGGAAGTTTGTCGTGATCATTTCTTCAAATCAGTAGTTGAGAGAACAGGTCAGTTAAAGGATTTGGCCTAATGTTCTTGACTTGGTTTCTATTACAGAACAGTGCGGTGCTGTCTGCTGCTATATTTGTCACACTGATAGGCTTGCTTGTGTACCTGCACTTTGTGAAAATTGACCAGGAGTCTCTGCTTATTGTTGGCTCACTTGGAATACAGATGACTTCATCCTATGCATCTGGCAAAGAAAGTACAACCTTTATAGAGATAAGCCAGGTAAAAGATGTGGTCATCAACGAAGCCATCTATATGGTAAGCCTAATATGCCACTTCTTTTACTATGCTACTGATTATCTCATTTCTTCAGCAACCAGAGGGCTGGGTTTTTTTGTTTTTTGTTTTGTCTGGAAAGGATTTTCCCATGTCAGATGCCAAGGTGTTCTACGGTGTTGGAGCAACAACAGAAAGGGCTCTGTTCTGTTCTTCAAGACCAGCTGATCTTTCCCCTTGAAATTAGAGAACTCTAAATGGAATCTCCCCAACAGATCTCAGTGGGAGAGGGATGGCTGCAGACCTGGTCCAACTGTGTGTTGGGGTTAAGTTCTTAATTCAGTAGGCAGATGGGTGGTGGGGCCAGCAAACTTCTTTGATTCTCTTCTCTGTTGGTTAAAAAAGAATTTCTAAGGTGGCTCTAACCTAAGGAAACCTTACTGGTCACTCTAGGATATCGTTATCCTTTCGTGAAGAAATTATCATTCTCATAATGATGTGGGTAGCGATTTCTTGTACCACGGTTGTAATCTTATAATTGGTAGCACAGAACAACTTTCTCATTGTTATATTTGTGTGTTGTTTGTTTTTGTAGCAAAAGGTTATCTATTACCTGTGCATCCTTCTCCAAGACCCTGTGGAACCTCATGTTGTTTCAGAGGTAGTACCATTGTTCCAGGTGAGTCCATCAAAGTGCACAGGAGTGTTGGAGATGGTAGAAAATATTTGTTAGGCCATGTAGACTCCGACTGTGGCCTCTTATTTTCAGAACTCTGCAGTGCTACACAACACTTTTTTACGTGATCTTCCTTTCAATCCTGGGTCCAAGAACATAGGGTAGCTGTTAGTTTGTAATTCAGTGCACCTTAGACGCAGCAGTGACATGCTCAATTGAGCATGGATTAACTGCTGAACTTTCTGGATAGTTGATCTTGCCCAGGTAGGTGGGGCAGTAACCCTTGTCACCCTTTGGTGCATTTAAGCCCTTTCTTTTCTCAGTTATGTCAGCTCTAAAGAATACAATTTACCATCTCACTGAGCCAATTAACACTTCTATAATCACGTACTAAATTAACCTGTTTTTCTATGAAACTCAGTGGCAACCTTCAAGAAGAAAGCTTCCAAATGGACTTTACACTAAGAGTTGTTTTCAGCAGCTCAAAAGGCATTAGGACTCAGAGAGCAAAGGGTGGGTGGGATGGAGTGGGAAATTACCGCAGAGGTGAGGAGTTAAATATAGAAATATTTCTGAGTTTTTGGCCCAGCTCAGTAGTAGTAGAAAGTTATAATTTTATGCCCTTTCTATTGTGTTAGCATGGGTGGAGTTCTAGGCTACTATTAATTTTGTGGCTGACCAGATCAGTGAAGGCATACAGTGGTACCTTGGGTTACATACGCTTCAGGTTACAGACTCCGCTAACCCAGAAATACTACCTCGGGTTAAGAACTTTGCTTCAGGATGAGAACAGAAATCGTGCTCCGGCGGTGCGGCGGCAGGAGGCCCCATTAGCTAAAGTGGTGCTTCAGGTTAAGAACAGTTTCAGGTTAAGAACGGACCTCCGGAACGAATTAAGTACTTAACCTGAGGTACCACTGTAGTTTGGATAAAACTTAAGAAGTTAGGCCTTTTAAAACATCACTGCTTTGATCATTCAGGCTAGTCTCTGCAGCAGTAGATGTTCTTCAGAAAGGGCAACCCTGTTTCTCCACCCCCCTCCTCCACATTGCTTGTATCCTTACATTTTTACTTACAGAGAATGGAGAATTCATTTTCCAGCTTGCTTTTGTCCATCATCTCAAATCAGTCGATCTGCTCTTTTGAACTCCTAGCCAGCAGCAAACCAGGGACATATACCCTGTCTCCAGCAAAGAAACAAAATAAAGCACATAAACAGAACATATGACGTAGCATTTTGGTGGGGTGGCTGGTCCCTCCAAACTGGCTGTTCTGCCTTCTTCTCTCTCTCAACTTTTGTCAGTATAGCCAATCAGGGAACTTGGCTTTACATAGAGGAACTTGTAGAATTAAAGAAGATAGGGTGGGACTATGAGCATGTGCTGCCAGTGTCAGGTAAGAGAGATAACCTGTGTGTGTCAGGTGTGTTTGCCTGGGTTCAGTGTGTCTAGGTGCATGTGCCAGTGCCAGCGGAGTGTGTGCTCCAGGTGTGTGTGCCTGGGTTACATTTATGCAAGCAATCCCTCCTAATAAATTTTGTATGTCATTTCCACTAATATGTGCATTTTATGCATACTTTTCTCTAAGATGTGCATTTTTGTACACCTTGGTTGAGGAATTGCATAGCAAAATTCAGAGTAGTGTGAATTTCAAAACATAGCTGTTTTGGTTTGTGTATTTTGTTCAGTAAGTGGGAATTCAGTAGGTTCACATTAAATGCAAACAAAATCAAATTTCTCCCCCATCCCTAGATGAAACCTTTTTTATTTTTCTCCTCCTGTAGCCATGCTGGCTTTGGGTGAAGCCTCCCTAATCTTTCAACAGCAATTGCAGTTCTTTAGCCATTTGAGTCTCTCTTGTCTCCTTTATATATAGAGCTCCAAGCCACGTCTAGACTGCCTTGTCCAAGTGTACAAAAGCTGCCAAGAAATCCTGGAGCAGAGGAAGACATATTGACAGTTTTTAAAGTGAAGTCTTTATCTGGGTAGAAAACTTGCTAAAATACCAAGCTTTTCTTAAAAAAAATAGTTGGGAAGCATGTTACGGGACTTGACCATGTGGATAACTAGATGGCAGTGGATTCTAATGCACCAGAGAACTGAAAACTGCTAGTGCTTTCATGGGCAAGGACGTGAGTATGTAATCTTGAATAAATGTTATGGTGGAGAAATGGCTAAACTGGGCCCCACATCTTCTTTTTTCAACATGACGTAAGAATGATTATAAACTTTCTGTAAATAATTAACTCTACCATGTGAATGGAAATCTACAGGGAAGGTTCAGCAGAAATGGGATGGACAGGGAAACTGCCACCTTAGTACAAGTATATGGAAGATGAGAAACTGAGAACACCATTACATTATCTTCTAAAATCAATTGTGAGATCTTCAGTGTCTGTATGATATTCTTACTTATGCACTTAGGTTTGTCATTAGCAATTGATACAAATGTCTGCTAAACAAATCCTTTCACTAATTGTTTTAGAAGCATTTTGCTGTGTTCTGTGTTGTAACAAGATAACCTGTGTTTACCAAGTTCATATGTTGTAAGGACATTTTCCAGTACACATGGAAGATCTGGCCAGAGTCTAGAGAACCTCACATCTAACGTCAAAGAAAAACAGACTTCTCATCATCCAGCCAGACAACTGCTTTTGAAATTCAGGGAAATTTCAAAGCACTTGGTCATAGGACATGGAGAGGGTGCAGAACTGCTTCCTCCCACGGAAAGTGTCAGAAGTCATGCTGATCTCCCACAATCCCTAAGTTTAGCTGCCTGAATTGTTGGTTGGAAATTTGTCAAATAGTAAATGCCATTCCCTTATTAGTTTGTCCTACTGCATGTGCTTTGGGCAGGAAACAACACTGATACAGTGGTGCCTCGCAAGACGAAAAGAATCCGTTCCGCGAGTCTCTTCGTCTTGCGGGTTTTTTCGTCTTGCGAAGCAAGCCCATTAGCGGTTTAGCGGATTAGCGCTACAGTATTAGCTTAGCGGGCTTAGCGGATCAGCTGATAAGCAGCTTAGCGATCAGCTGTTAAGCGGCTTAACGATCAGCTGATAAGCGGCTTAACGTTCAGCTGATAAGCGGCTTAGCGATCAGCTGTTAAGCGGCTTAGCCGATCAGCTGATAAGCGGTTTAGCGGCTTGGGGAAAAGGGGGGGGGAGGGAAAAAACCCCGCAGGAACTCGCAAGACATTTTCGTCTTGCGAAGCAAGCACATAGGAAATTCGTTTTGCGAAGCACCTCCAAAACGGAAAACCCTTTCGTCTAGCGGGTTTTCCGTCTTGCGAGGCATTCGTCTTGCGGGGCACCACTGTAATTAAGAGACCCACTGTATAAGAATACTATCCTGAGTTAAAACTATCCCAAATCTACTTTGTCCAGGCTAAAGAAGATTTCCCCCCGCAAATGCCACATAATATTCAGGCATGGGCTTTGGCAAGTCTTCAAATCAAGGGAGTTGCACCTTTGTGGAATAGCCACCAAGAGAACCCCTCTCATCACAATTTCATGGTACAAGTTTGGTGCGCAGACTGCATGGGGTCAAGAGAGCTATTTGAATAGTTCCACAAATGCTTGCCAGATTTCAAAGAAGTGCCATCACATGAAGAGGCTGCTGATGGAACTCATGTTCAGTTTCCCCTGTTGATTTCTAGGCAAGGAAGACACAAGTACATTCTTACTGAAGGAATGTGTTGTAGACTACAGCTCTCTTGTTAAAATGTGGAAGGAACTGGTTTGATATCCAGCTGCAACTGTTAAAGCTGCTCTACCAGCAGAAACCCCCTTTATTTCAGTAGGATCTTTTGTGTTCAACTGAGAGGAAATAGGTCCCTGTGTTTGGCATAGAATGTTTGCTGCATCTGTTTACACCATTCCAAAAGCTAAGTAACAAATAAAACAATGAAAGAAAGAAAAATCTCCTGCTTTATTGATAATCATAAGTTTATTAGCTTTACCATCATTGCATTACAGTACATCATAGTTTTTTATGTACAAAACAGTAGTTGTGAAAACAAAGTCTTCTTTTTCACTGTTGTGCTATAGCAAATTTCCAGCTAGGGGCACAGGGCTGTTCACAACTGAATTTTATAAACTTTGCTAGAAGGGAATCCTACAAATCTGTCATGGTTTCAATAGACAAGTTTTCTGAATGCCAATAAACTATAAATATATAGTAGCATCATAGTCTCTGCATCAGAGGAGAGAGCTGGATTCAGGTCTCACTGGGATCAACTAGTAAGCTGCTATATTTCAGCTCCAGCCTCTCATCTAACATGGGAGTAAGGCTGTTACTGTAAAATGAAAATCAGCAGCATTAACGAGAGTATTGGAGCATACCTAACACTATCCATGGAAACAAGCCGAAGATAAGTATATTTTCAGTGGACAGTTTGGATTTGATTGTACAGTGTTCTCAACCCTCTAACGCTAAACACATTACTTTGAAGCAAGTAAGTTCTGTTGAAATAGATGGAACATACACTCCAACTTTTGCCACATAGTTTGGAAGTAAACAGTGTCCAAGTGTGGTAGACTACTTCTGTTCTTTGCTCTCACAGTAAGTTTCAAGTACAGTAGGAAAAATTCACATCCTCAGATGGCCACAGCTCTTTCCACAAATATATAAAAAACCAGCTAAAATACAGTTGAGGACAGACAACCAACAGCTGTAACAGCAATCTGGGGGAAAATGACCCCAACCAACATGAAAAGGATTATTGGGAGCAAAAAGAGATTAAATAAAAATTGTAACAATTTCACCAGCCCTCACCTGTTTTTAGCAGGAACCTTAAAAGGATCCTGTCCAAATATATGCATGGTTAACAGGATGTGCACACACCTTCCTGCCAGCTGACAGGCCATGCAGATGGAACCTGATGTATGGTTTTAGGCTGCTGCTTTGCTTCCAGATGTGCACTTTGCTGAGGTTGCAGATTCAGATGCACAGATTATTTGAGCTTTATGTGCAGATAATCCAGCAAGGGGATCTGCATGGGTGGGGCTCTTGTTCTTTTGGGATAGAAGTGTTTCCTTTGTAAGGTTTTGCTACACTCAACAAGTGCCATATGGCTTGTCCATGGATGCTGGAGAATGGCCATACAGATCAAATAAAATAACAATGATCTGCAGATCTGTATTTTAGTTATAGAAATGTAGATTATTCAAGAATGCAGTACAAATCACATTATAGGTATACATTTTTACAGGAAAAATAATCTGAACAGCAATACCTATAATCAATTTATCAGCTTTGTCACAAGTGATTATTGGAAGATCACTTATTTTTAAAGGCAAGATGGACACCATTTAGAAATGTATTTGTTTGCTAACCACTCCCCTTTGAAGGAAGCGGGAGTTCCAAAGATAAGTATTGCTAAAAAAAGAAGGATTTTTTGTGTTAAACAAAGCCATAAGATGGGAGGCAAAACATCAGATGCCTTCCCATTTCAAAGTGGTCCTAGTACAAATGTCAGTAGTGAACACATCCAAAAATAAATACAATATAGTGGTTCCAACATTTCAAAGCATACACCTGAGATTATGCATCATAAAATGCACCTCTATGGCAAGAGCCAAGGGATTGTCCTTGTGTAATGCTATGGTACAGTATCTATCTAGTAGAATATATGAGGGATATTTTCTTGCAATCATTCATGTTTTTGCCAGTTCCCCCAAAAGCACACTACCTGCATTTTACTATAGTTCAAAAGTAAACATGTTAAATTATTCCACCCTAATGCTGTACCATGTATGAAAACTCATCAACCATGAAAATGTTTTAGTCAAAGTAGTTTCTTTCCCCCCATATTCAGAAAGTCTAGATACTACGTGTGCAATTGTTCAGCTACAAGGAAATCCTCTGGATCATCAAAGGAAACTTCTAATACTAAACAGCCATTCCTTAAGTATCCCCTGCATATACGAAGAAGTCATTCCGCAAATTGTCCAGGCAACTTTTTCTATTGCTGAACTGATCTTACCATTAGTACTCTTATAATCTGTTTCCAAATATTTAATCCGAGACCATCTTCCTATAGCCCAGACCCATGGTATCATTTCCTATCCTTGAGGCACAGGATGCTCAATTGATTTAACACATATTTTTTGATATCCTTTAAATAATTTTAAAACTCTAAATATACTTCTCCTGCGTCCTGATCCTATGCATGCTTACTTGCAAGTAAGTCTCACAGTTTAATGGAGCTTACTCCCAATTAAGTATGCACTGAATTGCAGCCTTAACCTTCTTTTGTTTTGGTTAAACATGCCCAGTTCCTTCAGCCTCCCTCTACAGGATTTGTTTCCCAGACCCTGTGATCATCCATGTAACTCTTGTTTCCGATATGTCAGCATGATCTGCATTCACTGTTGAACACAGCATTCCACCCAAGTTCTTTCCAGTGCCAAAAAAATTTGATACTTCTACTTCACAAGTCTTTTGCTAAGAATTCAATTATATATTATATGGAAAATGGAACTGCAGCTGTACCTGCAAATGGGGATCCCCATATTAAATTCTCTCCTGTAATGTGTAATATTATTCATCATGTGAATCACCACATGGTGAATTTCCCCACTGCTCCACATTATTGGCTGCCACTAGTGTGGGCATCTTCAAATGGCAGTGGCCATTTCTGCCCCAATACCACAATGTTGACTTATGTTTATACTGGTACCCTTGGAAACTTTTAGATTTACCCTGGACATACTCCAACTGCCCAGTTAAGATACCTAGCCTTCTTATATTTTGTGTTTCCCCCTTTGCAACATGGGCACTTGTTCACACACTTTCTCTTTTTTACTTACTGTCTGACACTTCAGCATGAAACCATTTCCCATATTTATCTAATCCATTAAAGCAGGAATGGGCAACCTCTGTATTCTTTAGGTCACTCCAGACTGTGGTCCAGACCATCTCAACAGCCTTGCAGGCACTCAGGGTCAATGATAAGGTCAGCACCATCTAACAGCAAGGATTCCACATTTGTAGATTTAATACACATTTGTGTATAACTGAGGCATTATTGTACAAGACCCCAATAGGTGTAAACATCAGAAGTGTGGAACACCCCTGTATCTCACAAATTTTGAAAAAAATCTGTTTTCCCCATGAGGGAATGTATGGACAAAATGTTTATCATACCTTGCACAAAAGTTGGTAGGACTATTGGGATCCAGACAGTATTGCTTTTTGGTCCTGGGTATCCCTATGTTAATCTATATCAAGTCCTCCCAGCCAGTTTTCACATCTTTAGAGTACTATATAGTATGTTTGTGAAAAATAGGTACAAAAGTAATTGACTCCAACCTTCAACATAGCTATTTCCTCTTCTAAGCCCTTTCTTTACAAGCAATAGTTCTCCCAAGTCAGGTGTCTCTCCTCACCCCCACCCCCATTTATGCAGAACAAAAGTCCTTGCAGTTGGGGAAAAGCACATATTTCCCCTCCTCAGGCGCTTTTTCAAGGCAACAATATATTATTCTAGTTGCCTACATATTATGTGAATTCTCTGATCCAGTGTGTTCGGCAATGCCATTGTTGTCAGTCTATCATCTCAGGATGTTTGCACTTGAAATAATGTCTTAAGGAATATGGTACATATTCATTTACCCAGCACACTTCAGAAGATGAGGTAGGGAAACAAAAGGTTTGGGGGGGGAAATAGGATCTTACATAAATAGTGCTATTTTTGCAGGGGAGAGTGGGAAAGGCAAGAGAGTGTAAGTTGGCAATCAGGTGAAGACCCCAAACCAAGCTTTGTGTTCTGGGAAGTTTGCAGGTCAATAGCTGATGAATGCATATTCAGGAAGAAATCAATAGCTGAGAAACTGATGATTAGTTTCTAATCATAACACATGTTTAGTAAGAAGATGAATGCTGTCAAAACTCTTGCAATCGGGAGTGAGGTCTGAGAGAAATACTGGTTGCAAAAGAAAAAGCTTTGATACAGTTGAATGTGCGTGGAATCAGCAAAGCCACCCAAAAAGATGAAACCAAGGGTGTGGTTTAAAAGTGGTTGGAGGCAATGCCGTGCTACGTGAGAACTCTAGCAGGGACAAAGTGTGAAAGATACCCTTTCTATTCAAAATAAGTAACCCTACCCCCAGCTCTAGTTCTTAAAGGGAAAAAAGATGTATAGCTCTAAACAAACCTCTAGGAAAGTTGCACTTCACCAAGGAGGTAGACCTGGAGTCTGCCTGATTAGCAGGGCACATAAGCAATGAAATCACAGCAGTCTTCAATTCACAGTGTGGCAAGACAACTCCGAAAGGCACTTGAAACAGGGCTTACAGCAGTGTAGGCCCCTTAGTGGTCCGGGGCAGAGAAGGAAAGAAAGACCTGCTTTCAAGTTCCATGAGCTTCTTAGTAGATGACGTTCTCCATGGTGAGCTGACACTCTGAGGAGGAGGCGTAGGAGACAGGTGTGGCGTCGATGAACTGTAGTTAATATAGCTGGCCATAAGGAGAGTCACTTCAGCAATCTGTTGGGAAGGTGAAAGGAAAAAAAAAAGTATTCCAATAAAATTGATTTTCTTGGACCAACTAGTAAGCTGACCTTTCGATACAATCACCCCATGCTATAAAATGGGACATAGAGCTATTATATAAACAGGTCCATCAAGCTCAGTTTTGTCATGTGATTGGCAGCTGCACTTCACAGCCTTGGGCAAAGATCTTTTCAAACTCAGCTACCTAAAATCCTTTAACCAGAGATGTCATGCATTGGCCAGTGTTCTTTGTTCAACTCACTGTGCATACATGATGCATGTATGATCTAAAATGTAAACATTATGAGAGAAATTTTATTTCCCACAGAGAATAGGTGCTTATTATAACTGTAGGCTGGTTAGAAAGGATGTATGCTTTGGTGAGTCACACCTTTATGTAGAAGAAAACGCAAAAAAGCAAATATCAGGTTTCTGACTTAATGCCCAGACTGAGTAGCCTAGTCTCAGGCCACACTTCTGAGATTTTACAGGGCTTAAAACCCAGGATAAAGGTACTGCAGTGTTAATTATGCATTTAATAATGTAATTTAGATGTCAAACTGCACACAAGAGCTCAGGGAAAGCAATTTATGCACTAGGAAGAAAATAATAGTAATATAATATATAAATAAGTAACTTCCTAAATATACATTTCCAAATTAAAAAGGTCTTTCTTCACCACATGGAACTTGTTCAGGCTTGGAAGAAACTTGGAAGGACCAACACTTCAGAGCTACCCCTGCGTGCTTGATGCACCAAGCACACACACATATATGCCTTTTTCTTCTGGCCCTATCCAGAGAAAGGAACATCAGCTGCCTTCTGGGGGTTTATATTCAATGTATGTTCAATAAAAAAAAAGAAATTCCCCACACTTCGCTTTGTACTCACCTTTACAGCTGCCATTGTAAAAAGTAGTTTTTCAGGAGTGGTTTTGCCAGAGCACCTGTCCTTCACTTGACTGACCACAACCATAAAGTCATCATGACAGCCTCCAAAGGTCAGTACAGAAGAGTACGAGTAAGCCAGCTTTAAGTGCTTCATGTAAGCAGAGGATAAGATGATTAGGGACAATAAACTGCTACATAAGAGCATTGGTCTTCTACACCCTCCTCTAAACGGTTTTAGGAATTGTCTAAGCCTCGTTCATGAATAGGTTTGAACAAGTCTCTCAGTCTGAATTTCTAAAATGAAATAATAATGACAGTAAAGCATAACAGAATGCCACACGAATGGTTAAATCATAAAATGTATATAATCCAGTTTTGGTTTTTTTAAGTGCATGCCACGTTGAAGCAGCAGTTAGTAGTGTGACTTTAATGAACTGGAAGTCCATAAATTGAAAGCGGCTTTTTCTTGAAATCATCTGATTTCTCTCTTATTGCCTCTGGTTTTATTTGCCACTATCTTTCCTAAAGAAACAGTTTATTTTCCCTGATTTAATAAATACACCTGATTCAGCCAAATAAATTGTTTTGTCCTATTCTGTAATCAGAGTCAATGACAGAATGTACGCCCAGTTTCTGTCCTGCATAATTATTGAAATGTGGTTCTGGAGAAAAGAGCTGAAATTCCTCTGCCGCTGTTTCTCAACATACCAAAGTATTATATTCCAGTATACTGATTCCATCTTCATTCACAGCTATCCAAAGTGGAGAGTCTTCCAAGGGAGAAGGTAGGACAGGCTGGGGAAATAATAAGACACAGTAATACTGTTATAATGTCATGCTACCATGGAGGGATAATAACAACTGATAAGTCTGTGGGTTCATATTATCTTGTGCACATTATTAACTATATCATATCTGTTGAAAGCCTGTATCACAGTGTGCATTACTGTTTTTAAGAAGATGCATGCTGGTTTCAGTATTTTAAGAATCATTAGGACAAGAGAGGCTTAGATTTATTACTGATGGTAAACTAGCGTTTTGCTAATTCAAGGGAAGTTACATTGACTGCGGAAAGTGAATGGAATGCATGTTGTTGCCCTGATTTGGGTTTTTTTTCAGTATCTCCATACAAATAAATCTCCTGGTCCATCCCTGAATGGTAATGAAATACAGTAGTGTTGTAATAATTTCAAGCTGCTGCAGGAATATTATGAGGGAAAAACAGGAGTCTTATATCAGGACAGACCACTGGTCTATCAGTATTTTGTACACTGAAAGGCAGCAGCTCTCCAGAATTTCAGACCAAGGCGAGAAGAAAATGGTCTGTCATATTGTCTGGAAAACTTCTTAAGTTTCCATTTTAGCTCAATAAGGATTTTCACAAGCTTGCCTTAGATACAGTACATGGAAGTAACCCCATGAGCTAGCGGAAGTGAGCAGAAGGACTCCTGCTAGCACAGTGAAGCTTCCTTGCCCTCTGTGTCCACCAGATCTACTCTGGAGGGTCATGAGAACCCCCAGAACAGAGGGCGTGGGGAGGAGAGGGGAGATCAGGAAGCAGAAATGTTTGTGCTGACAGAATGATTAATGACACCCTCCATTTGCTTAAGTTGTTATTAATAAGGCAAAGGTCAGTGGTAGTAAATCTTACTGCATTTATTATGTAAGTGTGAAAGTTTCAGAGAGGTAAAACTCTTGACAAGTAAGATTTGGATCATTTATCCCGTTTGTCTGCTAAAGCTAGTTTTCATTGCAATTTCCAAAGGCTATGTGATGATGGCTAGCGACCCTTAGTGGTAGGAAGACTAACAGCTTGAAAACAATGTCCCTTATCTATACCGTATCCCTATTTAAAATAAATAAATAAACCCAGTGTCTTCTCCAGCTATGAAACAAAATCCAGTATGTTATCCCAAAATTATATTCTGTGGAATATAGTTTGATAAAATGTGTTTGTCCATAGAAACACAGCATTACCTTAGCAGGAAACAGTTTGGCTCCAAAAAGAGGCCATTTCCGAGCCACAGTCAAATGGATCCGAATGCATTCTTGCGGGGAGCATCCCTGCAGCGCCATCCACTTTGTAGCCAGTCGGTCAGCCAGCCGCCTATAGAAATAAGATCAATCTGTCATCTTTTTCAGCGACGGGCTTATAAAAATAGATACATTAATATAGTATCTGTCACCTAAAGGCCTCAAAGTACCGTAATGCTTTTCAAAACATTAGATGGTGGAGTCACTACAGTATAGCAAAAGAGTGCAGAACATGGCACTTTTCACGCGCAAGCCACCAGACTTTTGTTTACATTTCAGCCATTGCAAGATTTCACAAGTTGACACCTGATTCTGGAAGTTTGCAAAATGAGTCTGACATTATGCTTGGATGCAAAGTTTGCAAATCAACAAGGGTGTAGGAGCCCCAAGGCTCCACTTAATCTGCTTCTGCAGACAGCAGCTGTTCCCACTTCAGAATGCTGTGCTGCTGACCAGGGGCACTTCCACACAGTCACTGTTTGCAGGTGGGATTCAGTCACATAGCAGTAAATACAATGAAAGCTGATTTGGAGCTCTTGCACAACAAACTCACTTCCCAGAAAGATCGGATTTTTAATTTTTTTTTTTGAGGTAGGAAAAGTGAGGGGGAGATGCACTAGGAAGTGTGGGAGAGACTTGCTTTGATGCAACATTGCCTAGCCACCCTTCCCTGCAAACAATTCAGAGTAAACGCCCATCAAATAGCCAAGGTTATCCAATCTCTCAGCAAACTAATCAGATGAATGATCACTGAACAGATCATCTGGAAGCACCCTTAACAAAGGGCAGACTCTAACGAAGAGCCTGCTTTTTTCTACCCAGAAAGAGGTGTCAAATTTTAAAAGCAGTGCTTTTCTTCTAGGGAAAAAAAAGGTGCCGGTATTGCGTACCCTTGAGTATCCCCAGAAAAGAAAACACTGTTTATAAGAGGTTTAACAAAAGGAACATAACCTTGAATCTACCTTTCGTTTAAATCAGAACCAGTGAAGGCTGTGAATGTCCTGTGTGAGTGTCTGGACGCATTGGAGGATGGATGGCGGCTAACAGATTGAGGTTGAATCCTGACAAGAAAGAAGTATTGCCGCAGGGGGAGGGGTGGGGGTGGGAGACTACCTGGTCTTGAATGGGGAAAGTGTGCCCCTGAAGGTGGGAGTCATTTTGGACTCACAGCAGTCCATGGAGGTCAATTCTGTGTCCAGAGCAGCTGTCTACTAGCTCCATCTGGTACACAGGCTGAGACCCTACCTGCCTGCAGAGTGTCTCGCCAGAGTGGTGCATGCCCTGGTTATTTTCCGCTTGGACTAATGCAATGCTCTCTATGTGGAGCTACCTTTGAAGGTGACATGGAAACTACAACTAATACACAATGAGGCAGCTAGACTGGTGACTGGGAGTGGCTGCCAGGACTATAGAACACCGGTCCTAAAGGATCGTCACTGGCTCCCAGTAGGTTTCTGAGCACAATTCAAAGTGTTGGTGCTGACCTTTAAAGCCCTAAATGGCCTCGGCCCTGTATACCTGAAGGAGCGCCTCCACCCCATCATTCAGCCCAGACACTGAGGTCCAGCTCCGAGGGCCTTCTAGCAGTTCCCTCACTGAGAGAAGTGAAGCTACAGGGAACCAGACAGAGGGCCTTCTCAGCAGTGGCATCCTCCCTGTGGAATGCCCTCCCATCAGGTGTCAAGGAGATAAAGAACTACACAACTTTTAGAAGACATCTGAAGGCAGCCCTGTATCAAAAAGTTTTTAAAGTTTGATGTTTTATTATGTTTTTATATGTACTGGAAGCTGCCCAGAGTGGCTGCGGAAACTCAGCCAGATTGGCGGGATATTAAAAAAATCCTCACCCTCAGTTTGAGAGAGTCAAGTTGGTATTATTTGAAGCTGTGAGTCTTTCTTCCTTTATAGGATGCAAGTGTGTGCTTTGTCTTACTAATCAGAATTTCTTAGTGATAGGTGTGTGTGCATTCAATGACAATTAAAGGTAAAGGACCCCTGACAGTTAAGTCCAGTCGCAGACGACTCTGGGGTTGTGGCGTTCATCTCGCTTTACTAACCGAGGGAGCTGGCGCTTGTCCGCAGACAGCTTCTGGGTCATGTGGCCAGCATGACTGAGCCGCTTCTGGCGAACCAGAGCAGCGTACGGAAACGCCGTTTACCTTCCTGCTGGAAGGTATCTACTTGCACTTTGATGTGCTTTCGAACTGCGGGTATTCGAACCGCCGACCTTCTGATCAGCAAGCCCTAGGCTCTGTGGTTTAGACCACAGCGCCACTCGCGTTCCAGATCAATGACAATTAGCTAAACTCAACCCTTGTATTTGCGTCTTGTTTTTAAATACAGAATTTTATTTTTAAAATAAAGTTCAAAATAAAAGACTAAAAAGAAAAACAGCATATAACAATGCAAAATGAGCATTAGATAATATTTTATTTTTAGCTCAAAACTCCATATGGCAAAAAGCAGGCAGGCATGCTTACTCTTTTTACCTTAGCTGCTCTGCAGTAATGCTTTGCTTGTAGCGCTTGGGATAGAATTTGTCCAGGACCTGCTGGAGAAGATGTTGCATTTTGGAGTGGGATGACCTTCCAGGACTTGATGGTACTGGCCGATCTAAGTCTCCATATTCCACCTAAGGGGGGGGAAATACATCAAAACAAACAATTGTTTTGTGCAAGCGATTAGTGTGTGAGTGCTTCTCTCTCTCTCTCTCTCTCTCTCTCTCTCTCTGTGTGTGTGTGTGTGTGTGTGTGTTTGTGTGAATGTGGAAGGCAAGCAACTATCAGAGGCATAACAGATAAAGAAGGTAATGTAGAAGTTCTAAACAGCAGACTAGAATTCAGACCAACAACTGGGATCTGCTCCTTTTCAGGATTCCATTGCCCTGTCATGCTTTCTTCTGGGAAAATTCATTCCATTCTCCCTCCCTGGTTTTCTGTTCCTACTCCCTCAAAAACTCAGTTTGTGACAAGTGTTGGATCAACATCTTAGCTAAGCCTAGTCATGTATTGTACTAGAGGCAACTCCCCACTTGTGTGGGGATTGTTTTCCTGGCTGCAACATGCGTCAACGGGATGCACGGAAGTCTGCCCCACCCCATTTCACTCCTGCCTCCTTGCAACGCTGAAAATGGCGCACGTGTCAGTGGTCTCATGTGTGCTGTTTGTCGGTGCCTGTATTGTACCCTGCTGTGCTTTACCAGCTTGTAACCTACGCTGTACTGACATCATCAAGAAAACTTTTAAACCTTGGAGGAGTGGTGGCATCACCGAGGCAAGATGGCGTTTTGATCCAAAATGAAGTCTTGCTCAAATTTTTAACACCCCCAAGCAGGCTATGAGCTGCAGAATTGGGGAATCACAAAGCAGCACTCTGGACAACTGGTTTTCACCGTCGTCTCAGATCATCAGAGAATCACAAGCCCAAGCAACAGCCGATTCCAATGTGGCTACCAGCGCTCAATGCAGTGAAAATAACAACAACCCAGAGAGACCAGAAGCTCCATTTGACATGGCAGCTTTAGCTGCCCTATATAAAAGAACTGCCCGAGGACTGGGGTAAAGCACTGACGCTGCTGAGAGGAGAGATTTTAAAACGCACCCAATCTCAGATGTTTCCACAATTGTTTTTCAAATAATCAAATGATGGGACAATCGCTACACCCAAAATTAGCCCTACTATCTTTACTCCTCAGATTAAGAACATAACCAATAAAGACCTTATCCTCCATTTATCAACTGCAGCTAGATAAGTGATTGTCAAAAATCAGAAAGCTCTAAATGCAAATCTTTTTTGAAGCCTGGATTTTGCAAGTATGGGACACTGTGCATAAGGACAAACTCCATTTTCACAGTAAGAATATTGATCAGCGTTGTGGGGGAAGACTCACACTTTCTGTATGACAGGGTAGCCTTTTATTGACTTTGTTAAGAGAATCGAACATGGTTTACACCCTCCATCAACTCATGGAGCTTTATGGAGAGACACTTTCATTTGATGGCTATTTTTCTTTCTTTTCTGTACAACTGCTAAGTCCTGTTTTCTTTGTATGGGTATTTTTTTTGCTACTTGAAATTTAAAATAAATAATAATAATAATAATAATAATAATAATAAAGCAACCACTACCTCCACAGTGAAACCCACTATAGGATTTGGTTGTGATGCCTATGAATAAATCTTCCTTATGCTGATGGAAACAACAACTTTTAAACCTTCAGTTGTGAACATTTATGAGTTCCAAGTCTAAATAGGAGAGCCAGGACACTGACCAGATCCAGACCTGCTTAGCTTCAGCACGACAGTGTCTTCATGTGCATTTGAACCAAACCGTAGCCTTAGAACCACTACCTACTCCAACATGCTATGCAGAGATAGAGAACTTTATAGTGGTCACATAAAAATATTCAAGCTCTATCTGTGGTTCTCCTTATAGCTTGAGGGAGGGCATGTGGTTTTCCTGCCTTGGAACCACCAGTGACCTTATTGCTCCTTGACACCCCCAAGCATGAGGGTTTGGCCACTCACCTGAGCCATCAAAGCTGCCATTTCCAGAGCCAGCTCCTTATTGACAGGGAATCTCCCACTGGCTATTTCCCCACTAATCTGGAAAGCCAGCAGCAATCGTTCTCGGTCCGTCTCACCTTTTGCTTGGCTTCGGAAATACAACCTAAACGGGTGAAAAATGCCAAAGAGGAAAAAGAAACACACCAGCCACACCTTAGCACAGCATCTAGACCTTGCTCAGTCTAAGTACAATGAGTCTTACAGTTTTAAAGCTAATGTCACATCAGGGAGATTACTCAGGGCGCAATCCCCAGGGAAGTTTTCCTGCACAGACTTGCACATCTCCAGTTAATTTCAAGGGAATATGTGAAGGGGAATTTTTTTGGCAGGGACTTCTCTGTTTTATTGCTATAAGGAAGCACACTTAACAGAAGCGATGGGTCACTGTTGCTTACCAGAAAGGAGAAGGGGAAGGGGAAGGGTGGTGCAAATGCACCAGCAGAGCCAATCCAGCCAATGTCAGTGCTTTTGCACCACACCAACCTCCCAGCTGCCTCACCAGCTCCCTCCTAGTAAGCAATGGCAGCTCCACCCCACCCAGTAAGCCACATCTGGTACTTGGCAGTTGAATAAAAACATCTGTTTCTCCACCCCAATATACCACATCCAAAATCATTTCTAATAGGACATGTTGATAAGTCCCAGTTAAGCAGCCTGAATTAGAACTTCTGCATCCAAATTTCAGTTAGGAGAATTTCCTCAATAATTCCACCCCAATTAATTCCCCCCCCCCCAATTAATTTCAGTTCTAGTTAAATAACAGAAGTTATTTTAAATAGGGATACAGTACAGTGGTACCTCTGGTTACGTACTTAATTCGTTCCGGAGGTCCGTTCTTAACCTGAAACTGTTCTTAACCTGAAGACCACTTTAGCTAAAGGGGCCTCCCGCCGCTGCCGTGCCGCCACCGCGCGATTTCTGTTCTCATCCTGAAGCAAAGTTCTTAACCCAAGGTACTATTTCTGGGTTAGTCGAGTCTGTTACCTGAAGCATATGTAACCTGAAGCGTATGTAACCAGAGGTACCACTGTATAAAGCTGGATCAAACCTTAAGCTCCACAAGACATAGGGATGCAATACCAATCCAAGCTAGCAGTGGGCAGTACCTGTTTTTATACGTTAGTTTCACGATTCTCGTGCCACCTTCATATTTTCCAGGATTCAACTCTTTCAGAGCTTGCTCCCACTTTGAAATGACATCACAGATCTTTAAAAGATAACAATAAAGGAGACTGAATGAGGCTGAAGACAGAAACTTCACGCTAGTCATTTCAGTGAGACATGAATCCTTGTAAAATATTGAATACCCACTGTGATAATATTTGAACAGGGACTATTTAGAAGCCATGAAAAACTTTTAACTATTTCTTTGGACAACAAAACAAATAAATAAATAAACAAGAGAGTCAGTGCCAACATATTTTCAATTAAATATTTACAGATGTGTATGCTGTATATATAAAACAAAATATTCACCTTTCTTTTCATCAAAAATAATTCCGTATCATTAGTCTAGTTAAATAATAATCCTTACTCAATACTAAACTAAATACATGATAATGTATTTACTCAGTTAATGTGTTTGTGGGAGGGGCGGTTATTGGATTATATTGGTTTTTTGGGGGTTATGTATTTTGTGTTCTCGTCATCTGAGGCCCTTGTTCATGTGCCTCCTCCACAAGATGTCCAGAGGGTGGCAAGACAAGAACAGGCCTTTTCTGCAGTGGCTTCCCACTTGTGGAATGCTCACCCCAGGGAGGCTCACCCAGTGTGCCAGGCAAAAACGTTCATCTTCTCCCACGCCTCTGGCTAATTAAACAATCTATTGACTTTTAAACTGTGTGTGGCAGGGTTATCACTTTTGTTTGTTACTGTACTATATGTTTCTGTGTTTTTATATTGTAAACCACCCTGCGATCCTCAGATGAAGGGCGGTATCGAAATTTAATTAATAATAATAATGAGTAATCATGCATAATCACCTTCATAGGGCCTTGTAGGCAGTGTTCTAGATCCCTACCAGAAGGATCGTCTGTAAATAGATAAAACCCTGAGTTCGACGACAGCCTCATTCCTGTCTCCTGGTTCAGCCGCTGCAAGAATTCATCCACGGTTGAGGAGCCATCAAAACCGACCACCTGAAATGAAACAGTTGAGAAGCAATCATGAAGACAAAATCATTGCTGATGGGTGAGCACATGGACACAGTTTAGCTGTACAGATCCATCGGCAAGTATAACCCATGGCAAATTCTGTACTGAGGCAGAAGAGGACATAATGGGTCATTTTACCCAGCCTTGAAATCTTCTCAGTGTAAAGTCACCCAGCCCTCGTGTCTCACCTGGTAGGTCCCATTCATGAAGTGTACTGGGATGCTGAAGGGGAGTGAGTGGTGGTAGGGATTCCTCAGCAAAATGGACACGACCTCCATTCGGGAAGGTCTAGCTTCTCGCTCTCTAGCTTTCAAAGTGCGCTCCATTGATCTTCGACAGTAGATGGCATACTTGCCTATTTCAGTTCTAAATCAAAGAAGCGGGGGGGGGGGGAGTAAAATATGTTTCAGAAACACCCATTGCACTATTGCAATTATTGCTTTTTCAATAACTATCATGCTGTTGCACGTCACCAGGGGTTCCAGGCGCTCACCCAGGGTCAGTGCTTCCTTTTGGAAATGAGACACAGTGGAGACTGTGGTGTCTTTATGATATATGGTTTATTTACACATACATGCAACCTGAGCCTGCAATGGAGGGCTTCACAGCATTAACACCCCCAAATGGTATTGTTTCTCCCATAGCTGCAGCCATGGATTCAAAATTAAACATTTCTTCTGCTAGTGAGAATAAATTGAATCCTGTCCTATTACAGCCATTCATAGAAATTGACTCCAGTTTAACCCAGACAAGACAAAGCTCTTTACCTGGGATCTGCATGCTGCTGTAGGTGATGCTTGAGATACCAAAGGAAATGTTGCTGAGGCAGGAAGAGAGGAGCGCAAAGAGCAAGTAATTGCCAGCACTGTGAAGAAAAACAGGGTTACAGTGAATAAAGCCACCATTTCTGTTGTCCCTGCCATTTATTCTCAAGACAAAAATATCATCTACCCAATTCTCATGGATGGTTGATTCACACATCACAAATGCTACCGAAGCAATAGTTTTGAGGGAGGGAGCCAGTTTTGCAAAGGATATTTACCTAGTGTAAATAGATACAACTCTACGAGGGGAGCAGCAATTTACTGAGGTTGCTTGCCTGGGTGCCGTTATCTTTAAAAATATGCTTCAGCTCCCATCAAACATGAATAAGCCTTACTACAAGGCTTCATTCCATCACTATCAGACCAGTATAAGGTCTAAGCTAGGCATTAGGTGAGTAGATCCGTAGTCAGGTTTTCTGAGGCAGTGATCAACCACTTTTCAGTGTCACTGTGAAGTCTTCCATTTTATATCCAGTGCAGCTGAATGAGTATGTTCTGACTTTACCTTTTCAGTTATCATTTCTGAGGCTTTGTCTACATGTTACCCTTCTGCAGGGAATCAAACTACTTATCACACATGACCAAAAAAGTAAAAAAGAAAAAAAGTTTCTGTGGAAATAAATACAATTGTCTCCAGTGCAAATGCAAACATGTCAAGAAGTTCTCTGTTAATAAGTCATTTAAATTCAGACGTGGCAATCGGCACCTTGAACAGCAGAACATTCACCTGGATGACGGAGTGATTCTGAGCTTCCCTGCTGGTCTGTTTGACTAACTGACAATAGATTTCATTCTGTAGCTCACTGTGAGTCAGGCAGACCTGGAGTGCTGTCTGAGCCAGGGTCACATGATAATCAATAGATGGAGCTTCCACAGGAATGTTGATAAACAGCTGGCAAGACTGATAAAGGCGGGTGGAGAACAGAAGTACATTAACTGAGATGGAAGCGATAGTATCATTAAATTTTCCTCACAACCATTAACAAGTTTATCATCTACGACAACGATGACGATGACTGCAGTGGAACCTTGGTTTCTGAACGTAATCCGTCCTGGAAGTCCGTTCGACTTCCGAAACATTTGAAAACCAAGGATCAAAGGGCTGGTTGCAAAGTCAATGGGAAAAAATGAAAAACGCACCTTGGAAGACGTTTAACTTCCAGTTAAGCGTTCACTTCCGGGTTTTTGGTGTTTGGCTTCCGAAATGTTTGGCAGCAGAGACATTCAAAAACCAAGGTTTGACTGTATTTAGATAGGGCCATCAGCATGCACTGCGTTTTACAGAAGAGATTACAAAATGACATGTCCCTGCCCCAAGCAACTTACAATTCAGTATATGGCACAGGAAGTGAAGCAGAGGCAGGGGCTTAACAGGGAAGCAACATGTGGTTGTTTCAGTTGCACATGCTAAGTTACAGTCTGCGTTATTGTAGGATGTAGGAACTAGGGGACTGTGTCAAAGGCTTCATGAAAGGGTATTGAAGGATTTGAATTAAGCAAGATAATGGGCATTGTAGGTGTTCCAAAAGGCAGTTCCAAGATTACGGGGCAGCAAGAGAGAAAGGAAAGAATTTTAAGTTGCTTTTGGGCCTTGTGCAAACTTGACTCTCCCTTTCATCTTTCTTCAAAAATAAAATAAAATGCTTGAATAGTATATTTGGAGAGCCGTCTCTGTAAATACCTTGAAGAGTTTGAGGGCCTCTGTTTGCAGTGCTTCTGAAGGCAGAGTGGTGAGGGAAGCCTGCAGCCCCTCTTTGCTGTAACACAGCATAGGATGTTTCCACAAAGGAGAATCTGAATTAGTGGGAGGGACAAAGCTAGTTAGACGCTGCACAGGGCAAGGGATATTGCAAAGGAATATTAAAACTCTGGCGAATGAATCAGAAGTTGACAGCACCACGCAACTTCATCAGCATCTTTGGACTTAGAGCCATTCAGCACAGTTAGAAAATAGCACAAAGCACAGCCCACCTGGGACCATCCCATTTCAAAATGCAGGTGAGGAACTATGTGCTTGAATTTTCTGCCCTGTTAAAAACTCTGCACTAATGGAAATGCAGGACATTGGGGAGAAGGTCAGGCTACAATCCTTTTCCCAGACTTGCTAGGTTTCAACATGCAGGGAGTTTTGTTACAGAATATCTTTTAAATATTAGGCACTCATCTGCATTCTCAAGCAATGTGCCCTGAGCATGTAAAGGTAAAGGTAAAGGTACCCTTGACCGTTAGGTCCAGTCGCAGATGACTCTGGTGTTGCGCGCTCATCTCGCTCTATAGGCCGAGGGAGTCAGCGTTTGTCCGCAGACAGCTTCCGGGTCATGTGGCCAGCATGACTAAGCTGCTCCTGGTGAACCAGAGCACCGCACAGAAACGCCGTTTACCTTCCTGCCAGAGCGGTACCTATTTATCTACTTGCACTTTGACGTGCTTTTGAACTGCTAGGTGGGCAGGAGCTGGAACTGAACAATGGGAGCTCACCCTGTCGCGGGGATTCAAACCGCCAACCTTCATATCGGCAAGCCCTAACTTTTCTGATTAACACCACAACAGCAAAAAGGCCACTTATAGAAAGGTCTTGTTTCAGTTGTGAGGAGAGCACCATTTAGCCTTTTTATCTTCTATAGTCCAAATATACTGCGTTTAATTAAGGCAGGCTTCCTCAACCTTGACCCTCCAGATGTTTTGAGACTACAATTCCCAGCATCTCTGACCACTGGTCCTGCTAGCTAGGGATCATGGGAGTTGTAGGCCAAAAACACCTGGAGGTTGTCCAAGGTTGAGGAAGCCTGAATTAAGGCTCTGTTACTCCACGTCTGGCATGGGCAAGGATGGGAGCAGAACTGTCTTTACAGTCTACTTAGTTGGATTTTGCACATTCATTGTGCTTGCTCACCACTGTGGAGATGTCATAAGAGGAAGAAAGTATCTATCTGCCAGAACATTTCCAATTCCTGTGCTTCGAAACTGTCTGTTACAACCTTGGATCAGGAGGAGGGGAAGCCACCATGTTGACAAATGACAACACCACAATAAGCTCTCTGGGAAAAATATTTTCCTTTCTACTTACTTGGGTCTCCTTCTGCATCTAGTAGCTTCCCAATCAGCTGCTCATACGCAGTGCCTGCCTTTGCACTGCTACTTCCTGCTGCTACTGTCAGATGGTACAACCAGGTATCCTTGGAATAAAAGGGCAAAGAAGACTGAGCTGAAAATCTCATAGGATCAACCTAAGAACTTTAAGCATATAGCATACCATATGGGTGTATCATCTGGCACCAGTGATAGACGTACAGGGCTAATTTCTTCAGTCTCCAGCATATGCAGCTTGTTTCTTAGTCTATAGCAGGGACGCACTCCTTTCCTCACAGCTGGAGGGAAGTTATGCTTTGCAAGCACTAAAACTGCAAAGATTTTGTACCTGGAAAAATATGACTGTCACATTTTCCCAGCAAAGCATATCATACTTAATGTTCCATTGCTGATAATCTGGAGCCCTCCCATGAGTATGTAATAGAATAGGTACATTTTAAATAACAGAATTTATTATTTAAAATGCATCTATTCTATAATGCGGTTAATTATTATTTTCCTAAATACCTTCTCCTGTTTGGTACGAATGAGTAGGTAGGTGGGACTCTGCTCCGGAGGGTGAATAACCAGGGTGCAATGGGAAGAAAGTAGCCCCCCACCATTAGCCTCATAATCTTCATCAGAATCACAGGAGCGATCCACTTCTTCCACCTTTGATTCCCGCAGGTGCAAATGGCCAAGGGGGCACTGAGAAAAGAAGGCCAAACAGGTTAGGCTGCACAGTAGAAAATGCATGTGTGCATTAAATCAATAAATAGTAATAAAAACAGGAGGTTATAGGCTGTGTAAGGAGCTATTGGCTAGGACCAATGAGAAAAACGCTGAATATAAAAGCGGATTAAAAATACCTTGTCTTCCTGACTGCGATAATAGTAAAATGTTTTTCCAATCAGCGCACACCAAACCAGCTTGGAGTGTCCATGTTTCACCTGCAGATACAGCCCAGGAATAAAAAGATTTTCTTTCAACTTGTTTGCATGAGTTCATTAATTTTTCTGGAAAACTTAGAATTGCGCACACACACTTTTCTATCTTTCTCCCTCTTTGATAAAAAAACCATAATGATTGTGTTTTCAAATATAGTTCTGAAGATCTACAAAGGAAAGGATATTCTGCTTCCTATTAAAGATTCTTAAATTTAAATTCTTGTTTAGTATAAGACACTGTTGAGTTTGATCATATTCCTACTTAGACCAACTTGGTTTGGCTGTCTAGGTTTAAATTCCAACCTGTAGAAACTGCTGTACTAAAACACTGCTTCAAACCTTGTCCGGGGGTCGGGGGATGTCCAACCATCATGTAGGAAAGAGGATCATGTCAAAATGTCCCCAACCAGCTACATGGAGAAGCCCTGGTCCGCTTAAGACAGTAGAACCTTGCTCTGAGGAGCTTTTTATTTTGGCTGCCTTCAGGCTGCTACAGTATACTCAGCAAAGCAATGAAAAAGTAGCTCTTGAAATGGCCAGACCCTGCTTCAGCCAAAGCTCTTCTGCTTAGCCCACACCTGAGAGACGAGATGGTGAATCCGAGTTCAAAGTCTATGGGAACCAACCTATCAATTAAGTATTGCAACAGTAGGTTTGTTACAGTCTATCAATGCTGGGTTTAATTCTTTTGCGTATTTATTGTAGTGGATATTAATCTACCTGTGCTGTCCCATAGTTGTGTTGCATCTCAGCCTTTGCTAACCTGGTGCCCTCTATGTATTCTGGGCTACAACTCCCATTAGCTCAATGGAAATTATAGTCCACAGCACCTAAGGAGCAGCAGGTTGGCAAAGGCCACTGTTTCTGGTGCAGATATGCAGTACCTTGGTGAGCCAGCCTTTCACAGTGGGTTTGGCATCACTGAGAGGGACTTCCGTAGGACTGGTTGCCTGCACCTTCAGGATGTTTTGAAGGACACAAATCCATTCTTCCAGAATGTTAGGAGAGTCAGCTGACAGGAAATAGGTTCGTTTTTCAGTGATGAGCTAAAGGTGAAGGAAATGTTACATGTTGCTACAACCAAGAATGAAGGCTTTTGCCATATTAATGTTGTTATTGCAGTAAATGAGTTGCTTTCTAATGTTCTGGCCACATTCACTAGAACCTTTCAAGGCAAGATAAAAGTGCCTTAGAAACATAATAGAGGCACTGTCACTCTTCATCTATTTTGTTACCCACGCACACACACATACACAAAGCTAGGAAGCTGTTCAGCTATTTCTTTCATTGGCATTGATGAGCTGCCAAAGGGGGGGGGGGAGCGCAGAACTGTGATGCACTCGGTGAGATGAATTGCCAGTGTGTTGTTTATTATGACACACAACTCAAAATTTAGTTGCTCCTCAATGCCATTCGAGGATATAAAAATCAGGCTAGGTCAGGGGTCAGCAAACTTTTTCAGCGGGGGGGGGGAGGGAAGGGGCCAGTCCACTGTCCCTCAGACCTTGTGGGGAGCTGGACTATATTTTGGAAGAAGAAGAAGAAAAAAAGAATGAATTCCTATGCCCCACAAATAACCCAGAGATGCATTTTAAATAAAAGGACACATTCTACTCGTGTAAAAACACCAGGCGGGACACGGGTGGTGTTGTGGGTTAAACCACAGAGCCTAGGGCTTGACCATCAGAAGGTCAGTGGTTCGAATCCTCGTGACAGGGTGAGCTCCCGTTGCTTGGTACCTGCTCCTGCCAACCTAGCAGTTCATAAGCATGTCAAAGTGCAAGTAGATAAATAGGTACTGCTCCGGAGGGAAGGTAAACGGCGTTTCCGTGCACTGCTCTGGTTCGCCAGAAGCGGCTTATGTCATGCTGGCCACATGACCCGGAAGCTGTACGCTGGCTCCCTCGGCCAATAAAGTGAGATGAACGCCGGAACCCACAGTCAGCCATGACTGGACCTAATGGTCAGGGGTCCCTTTACCTTTACCTTTAAAAACACCAGGCAGGTACCACAAATAACCCAGAAATGCATTTTAAATAAAAGGACACATTCTACTCATGTACAAACACCAGGCAGCCCCACAAATAAGCCAGAGAGGCATTTTAAATAAAAGGACACATTCTACTCATGTAAAAACACGCTGATTCCTGGACCGTCCACGGGCCGGATTTAGAAGGCAATTGGGCCGAATCCGGCCCCCAGGCCTTAGTTTGCCTACTCATGGGCTAGGTGATATCCAGAGAAGAACTGGCAGCAGAAGAAATTCCAGCGGCAGCACAGCTCTGCAAACATCGCAGGAGCACTATTGCAAGTTTTGTATAAAGGGGACATAATAACATAACAAGATCCCTGCTGGATTAGGCCAAAGGTCCCTCAAAGTCTAACATCCTGTTCTCACAGTGGCTGACCAGATGCCTACAGGAAGCCCATAGGAAGGACCCAAGTGTAGCAGTGCTCTCTCCCCACTTGGGATTATCAACAACCAGTATTCAGTGGCATACTGCCTTCGACACTGGAGGTAGAAAATAGCCATCATGAGTATAAGTGATGTCAGCAGAATTTAACCTTTGTCAAATATGGCTGATAGTTACGAAATTTAGTGTGATGTGAGAATGTATCTGTATCCTCACATCTTCCGATTTTGATGACAAATTAAGAGAATGGATATGTGGCCCTGTTGACATTTCTGATATTTTTGCATCTTCTGTTTTTATTTGTGTTTATATTTTATGTATGATGGAATAAAAGACATTCAATTGTTTTTTTAAAAGTATGTGTAATGAATCTGAACAGAGCAAAGTGCTGTAATTTAGACGTTTCTGCATTATTGACAGAAGTGCAATAATACTTGGGAGACTTTACAGGAAAGTGGGCTGTGTCAAAACCTTTCTACAGCTTTCTTCAAGCATTAAAGGTTAAGTTTACGTTGAGTATTAGGTTTCAGGTCTTCTAGTATATGAACTTAATCTGCCTGATCTTTTCTGCAGGGCAAAACCATATGAAAACCAAGAACTTCAATTTAGGTTTGTCATGACAGGGAAAGTTGTCTCAATTAAAACATTTTCTCTCCCTGCCAATCTCTGTTAGTGCCCTTTAGACTTCAGAAATAAGAAACAAAGGTCAAAAGCAATGCTCACTTGGAATGTTTGAGATCCTTCACCCCGTACGATCTGGCAAGAAGAATTCAGTTCCACCTGCCCCTGGGGCTTGCATATGACATCACTCTGGAGAGAGGAAGGAAATGCAAAAGACAATGAACAATACGATATAAGGGATGGAGAAAAGGTGAGGCACAACCTCCAGGTAACATTCTGCATACGTGGCTGGTTTACTATATTCACAGCAGAGAAAGCACCAATGACATGATAATGTTGCTAATAAATATTTTAAAAATTAGGGCTGAAAACATGCATTGATCAATAAATTAATCAACAGCCCCAGTTTTAGTAGGTGGGACTGTGAGTGATGGTGGTTTTTGTGTGCGTTCTTTGGAGGGAATAATATCTCGATTCTGTTACTGATATTGGGGATAAAAAAACATATCAAAGATGGCCAAAGGATGAGTAGTTTATTAAAATTACTGAATATGAGGATTTGCTACTAACTCACCGGGGACTTATAATACATGATCTGTCCGTTTCTCAACACAAACCACCGCCTCTTCCATGCCTTCACTTGGTTGCCCATTTTCAGCAAATAGCCAGATTTCTCCAGTGGCTCCTAGATGAAAGAAAACAGATATATTTTCCTGTGCAATGGACAAGGTGCAAACCAGGGCTGGGGAACCTCAGACCCTCCAGCCCTCTTTAGCTGGGTTCCTTTGGGATTCCTCCAAGCCCAGAACCCCTCCCCAGTCACATCCCTCTCCCTAGGCCACACCCCTCACCAGCTGGGAGGCACTGGATTTGTTCTATTTGAAAAGCCTGATGTTAAGACTGCCCAAAGTGCAGATGGTGTTGGTGATGGGAGGGATAGCTTACACTGCACACTCCACCATCTGTGGAATAGGATGATGTCCGCTGCAACTTGTGCTCTGGTTCAGAATAATCTTCATCAACGGAGTAGGCATCAGGGGGGATGGCGTAGTCACTCTCCGAGCTTAGTGAAGACATAGAGACACCTGCTAGAAATAAAAAGAACCCAAGAACATGCATGCTTGCCTGGTTCAATAAGACCAAGCTTGCATGCAGAACCAAAACTATTGAAACAGGCTCACAAAACTACCAATCATCTAACAGCCTAATTAGCTAAAGGGACCCCTGACCATTAGGTCCAGTCGTGGCCGACTCTGGGGTTGCGGCGCTCATCTCGCTTTATTGGCCGAGGGAGCCGGCGTACAGCTTCCGGGTCATGTGACCAGCATGACTAAGCCGCTTCTGGTGAACCAGAGCAGCACACGGAAACGCCGTTTACCTTCCCGCCGGAGCGGTACCTATTTATCTACTTGCACTTTGATGTGCTTTCGAACTGCTAGGTTGGCAGGAGCAGGGACTGAGCAACGGGAGCTCACCCCGTTGCGGGGGATTTGAACCGCCGACCTTCTGATCGGGAAGTCCTAGGCTCTGTGGTTTAACCCACAGTGCCACCCCGCGTCCCAAATAGCCTATTTACCAGTCATCTAATAACCCAAAATTAACATTACTAGCAAAACGCCTTGATTGCAAAGGCAAAACTGACACACCTTTTCCCTAGTGTATGACCTGTTTTGAGATGTTCATTTTTTTAGAGCTGAAGCAGCAAGATTTCAGCTGGACTAACAGAAGGATTGCAGTAAAGTTTATGAACTTTTCCCTATATGCTTGATGCTTGGGAGCTGACTTATAATTTATAGCAGATAAAAGATAATCTCTAGACTGGTTTTTAAAAACACACTTACTTGGCAGTAAGCTCCACTGAAGTGGAAGTGCCTAGAATTGTGCTGATAGTTCTACTACAGCTGAAGCCCCAAATTCCCTGATGATTCTGGTCTGCTGCCTGCAGATGCTTTTAAATCATTTTAAAGCTCCTTCTCCCAGCAATCCAGAAAGCAATACTGTACTTCCTTCCTCTTACCTCGCTTCACTGCACGAGGACTGCCTGGTATGCTTGCTTTTCTGCATTCAGATCCTGCATTGGAGGTTCTGAAGCTCACATGAGAACTGCAGTCATCGTCAGAGCCGGAGGACTCGTCTAAGAAAGGAATGTTGCTGATTTGGGTAGCTTTCTGGAAAACAAACCTCCAAAGTCAGGATGAAAGGGAACGTAGGCATCACAGTTCACAAGAACCTTTCGTAAACTGCCTTGAGGTTCTTTGTTTTGTTTTTACAGTCAAGCAGCATATACATTTTACGAGAAGGGAAAAAAAGAGCTAGCACAAGAAAACCAGTTACGTTGTTCTGTCTCTACACTCTGCCCCTAGACCAAAAGAAGCAAGCCCCTATAGTTGTTTATTTCATTCTCCATGCCCTAGAGCAGGCATAGGCAAACTTGGCCCTCCAGATGTTTTGAGACTACAGTTCCCATCATCCCTGACCACTGGTCCTGTTAGCTAGGGATGATGGGAGTTGTAGTCCCATAACATCTGGAGGGCCGAGTTTGCCTATGCCTGCCCTAGAGAAACACATCACCACTACCAATGGCAATTAGGGTTAGGAAAAAAAGGCAGAAGCTTAGGAAGGAGAGATACACTTGATTTCTGCTTGAATCCAAGGCTGTGGCTATGGGGGAAGGAAGATCTTATTGTGGTGTTAATGCCAGGAGCCCCTCCATCGTAGGCTCAGGTTGTACATATGTGTAAATAAACCGTGTTTCTTTAAGACACTACAGTCTCTGCTGTCCCTCAATCTCAGGAAACTGTAAGCACTTGGAACCCCTGGAATCCTACACCGCTTGGAGATTAGGTTGGCGTGCAACAACATAATCTTATTTTAGTTAGTATTTAACAGGTTGTGGCAGAAAAAGTTATCTCATGGGGAAAAAAAGTAAGCCCACTCCGCCTTTTCCCATGACGTCTTTATGCTATTTTGGGCCTACTTCTGGGTTGTGCATCATTCGGACGCGTCTAACGTGGTCATTTCCTGTAATTTCAAATGCAAATATGAGCCTATCTTGAGGTCTTTCTGACTTCTGGGAAGAGGATGAGACCAGGCAGCGTGTGTGTGGTGTGTGGGCAGACATACAGCACAGACAAGATTCACTTAACGGCTATCTAGACAATTTAAGGTGTAGCCATATGAGTATGAGACATCTTCATGCATACAAGGAGACTGACCTGGACTGAATGATAAACTTGCAGACAACCTATTGATTGAGCCTTCATCCTGATTTGCTTGCACAAAGTTTACATGGGGGTTAGATTACATGCATGTATGTATGTATGATGGTCATCTGCCTGATTTGAATGTTCGCTTGATTCCCCCCCCCCTCAGTAAACTGAATAGCATTATTACAAATAAGCAAAACTACTTTTGCTTGTGGTTTTCTGCCAGTAATAAGAAATTAGATTTCCAAGGACCTATTTCCATCACATGTCTGCTTTGCATATGCTCTGTTCTGTCTAGTTTCTTGGCAGGTTTAAGAAAAACACAAACCAAAATTGTGTGTAAATTGTTCACACAACACTGGAACACACATTTTGTATACTTGTTATTTGCATTTTCTACACATTATTTCCCCTAAATATACATTTTGTATGCTTTTCAAAGCATTTCCCCATAAAATATGCACTTATATGTATGCTTAATATAAAATATACCTTACTGTGTCCATTTTATTTGTACTGAAACTGCATCACAAAACTCAGAGAAGTGCATAATTCAGTTGATACCTGCATTCAGATTTGCATATGGGTCAGGACTGGAGAATTAGATCAGTTCTCTTTAAAATGTTGACTGAACAAATTTCTCCTCCGTCCCTGCTATGAGCTCTCCTACCAATTTATTGCTTTCCACATCTGTTCCCTCAGAGTTGTCCACCTTCCCATATTGGTCCTGACAAAAGTGTCATCGTTCTTACCCCTTTTAGCATGGTGTACACAGGCACAGTGACATTTCTGTAAATGAGGCAGGTGAATGTTCCAGCAGGTGAATAGCTTGAAGAATTTGAAGCTGAGATATTTATACATAAAGGAAAGAAAGAAAAATGACAAGCTGCAGTTAGTATCCCCACAGCATGTTTAAATGGATGGGTTTTAATTAGCTAGATGGGGCTATGTGGATAATCAACATTTATGTGGTAACAGGGGCTCTGACCAAGATTAACAAATGACCATTATATATGAAACCACACTGAAAGACTATGTGTTGGTAAAGACTATCCATCTTTCATCTCCCATATCTCCATCCAGTGGCGTAGCGTGGGGGGTGCAGGGGGGGCCGGCCGCAACATCTGGGGGGGTGCGCTCGCACTCGCAGCTCTCTGCCCCTACCTGGCTCACTCACTCTCTCTCACTGCAGTGCTGGCTGTGCGAATCCGATCCGAGCCGCTGGGTCGCCGCCCACAGTGGAGGGGGAGGGTGCCAGGCGTGCGGTGCGGAGAGAGAGCGAGGGACTATCTGGGGGAGGGACAGTGCAGCGGCCGCCCAGCGCAGCGCTGAGCGTGGGAGAGAACCACACCAGACCAGACCAGGCAGCAGCAAGAAGAAGCTGGCAGCGGCGGCAGGTTAGGGGTTAGGGGGCGCAAATTACTTGCCTTGCCCCGGGTGCTGACAACCCACGCTACGCCGCTGTCTCCATCACAAAGAAAGCATAATTGATGGAGGTGCCCTTTAGTGGAGCACTAAATTTGCTTGTTGTGTCTGTGACTAAATGCCCTTTATCACCAAACATACAGTATACCAGCAAATGTGGTATAAATTCAGTCCGTAGTACATTTACCACAGAAGAGTTTACATGACCAAATGTTCTGAAAATATACCACTGGATAACACTAGTGGTATCTGGTCATGTATAGAGTCTTTGGGACAATTTTGGCTAGTACTTACTCCGGCTAGAAGAGTCACTCCCAACAGCCACTTCTGAAAGCCTCATGCCAGACTTGGCTACTGCATAGATCCGACTCTCCTAAAACAAGGGGGAAAGATCAAGGGGAAAAGACAAAGCAAAAATGTAACTTGTGGTGAACTTAAGGCAACTTGGGCTGCTTTGTCCCTTCTTCGGGTCCTGTCATCTTTACGAGAGAGTTACTAGCAACTGAACTACAAGCATATCTTTCAGGTGGCACAAATGCGTAAGCTGTCTTTTGGATAGAAAGGGAGACACAAAAGGTCCACCTACGGTTTAATTGTAAATAGACTCTTCTTGGAAACATACACTGGGAGGGAAGAGGATGGGGTGAATGGGGGAAGAGGAGCTGCAAGAGAAAGGGAGGTGTTAATAACATTCTTTTTACCAGCTGCTTCTCCCCTACAAATAATGCACCTCCAATTCTGTTTGAAAGAGGGAAGCAGCAGTCATAGTTGTATTAGCTTGATAATGTGCAATTTCAATCTCTGATATATACCTTGAAGCAACTGTGAAACAAACAAGAAATTAGAACAGAAAGGAGAAAATAAGTTCATATCAAAATTATATATGTTCATTCTCTTCTCTGTATCATTCCAATTTTAGTATATGTGCTGCCAAAGCGAGCACTCTATATGTTCATTCTCAATACCTACATACATCTTTAAAAAAAGGAAAGAGGAACAGAGATGAAAATTCTTGCAGAGATATGGGAAAAAAATATTTACAAAAGCATCTCGGCTTCCTGTTGCTACAACTTGGGTTGGAGTATTGTTTAGGAGTTTTTGTATATTTATTTTAGATCTTATTATTATTTGTTCCAGTTCCTCCGATGGCAAATATAATTTGTCCCTAATATATAACATGTGGATATATAACATTAGATTGAAATAACAACACCTTTGCAATATGCACAGTTATTTCCAAGCTGCAATGATTTGTTGTTGGTGGGGTTTTTTTATATAAAAAATGCAGTGAATTAAAGTCTTGGGCATGTATTGAATTCTGAATATCTTACCCAAGATGGAAATCTGTGCAGCGGAGGAGTGGGTGGCTTGCCTCCTGGGTCCATCACTCTGGTTTCAGAAGTCCATGTCTCCTTATTACAGCAAGATTGCTGGTCAATCTCTTCATCCATCCCTGCCTCCTCCCCCAAACAGTCTTCCATCTCCATGTTCTCAGCTACTTCCTCATCTATATCCGTCTCTTCCACTTGTCCCCGGCAATATGAAACAGCACTTATAGGCTTAAAAGTGCCGATATCATTGTTCGCCACATGATGGAAGGAATCTGCTCCTGACTGTGGTTGGCTATAGTGCCGCTTGGCGAGCAGGATGCTGTCCCTTGGATTGCTAGGAGTCCGAACTTTGGGGAGGGTCATGCTGTTACCTAGTCCAGCTTCCCTTCCTGGGAAATTGTGGGATGTTGAAATAATGGATTTTGGCAACTTCAGGGCTGGAGTTAACGTTGAAAGAGAACCGTTAAGAACATTTTTCACTTTCCCAGATGAGGATGAGTGCAACCTATGAGTTCTGAAGTCAGTACTCAGTCCATCTGCTGGCTTGCACAAGTCAGATAATGTCTTGTCTGAATCACCAATGGAGTTCTGCAGTTCCTCCAGGGGAGACTGAAAAGTTAAAGCTCCATGAAACTTCACAGTCTCAGCTTGGTGGTTTGATGATGGGCAGATTTGGGTGTGTGCCATGGGGACCAGGTCATTTACCGAAGAGTTCTGGTAGTCTGGGAAGTCAGAGATAAGCCTCAGTGAGCTCCGGGAAGGCACCGATTTGTTAACCTCACCCGTTACACAGGCATCGTTCATAAATACCACACTTGCTATATAAGGAACCCCTTTCATGGATACACTCTGATATGCCTGTTTGATGTCCATTGCAAGAATCCTGGAATCCCGGTCTGAGTTCTCAAGGAGGCAGGACAATCGGTCTCGAAACAACTGGATGTTGCAGTTGGAAACAGATTCTTCAGAAGGCACAGTCATCAAATCTGCAATTGGGAAAAGACGTCAGAACATAAGAAGGCCCATCTAGTCCAGCATTCTGTTCTCACAACCAACCAGGACCTGAGTGCAACACCACTCTCTCCACTTGCGATTCCCAACAACTGATGTTTCATTGACCTGCTGCCTCTGATGCTCAAGGTAGAACACAGCCATTGTAACTAGTAGCCATGAATTGCCTTATCTTCTATGCATTTGGCTGATTCTCTTTTAAAGTCAGCCAAGATAGTGGCCGTCACTACATCTTCTGGGAGAAAATGTTGTACTTTAATCATGTTCTATGTGAAGAAGTACTTTCTTTTGTCCGTCTTGGAATCTTCCAACATTCAACTTTCAACGACTCCAAGTTCAAGCATTATGACATAAGGAAAACAACTTTTCCCTCTCCACTTTCTTCATAACTTTATGCACCTCTTACCATGTCCTCCTTACCCGCCTTTTCTCCAAGCTAAAAAAACCCAAGTGCTGTAACCTGTTTTTAACTTTTATGTTTTTATTGTATAGTTTTGATTTGTTTTTACTGTTGTAAACTGCTTTGATATTTTTTGTGATATAGTGGTATATAGGTATTTTTATAAATAAATAAACTTTGTACAATTTTTTTATCATGGCAATAATTGTGCCCTGTATATATCTAAACAATTAGGGTTTGTTTATTTTCCTCCTCCATCTCCATCCCTTTGGTCTTTGGTGTCATGTCTTTTAGATTGCTAGTCTGGGCAGTGACTCCCTTTTGCAAAATTTGATCTGTAAGCCACTATTTCAGCTGAAGAGTTTAGTTTCATTAATTAAATACTCCCAGGATACTGAATCAAAATACTGTAAACTCTTTTTAAAAAAATAATTTTATTAATATTATATTATTACACTTTGTAGCCAAGATCGTTATATAATCATATGTAGAAAACTCGTTCCATTAGACCACTCTTCTAAAAACAGGAATTTATAATCTTTAAGCCCAAATCATTTGAAACCCCTCCAACCCATCCATGCTGATGGTTCTGGTGATCTGTAATTAAAGGACAAATATGGCCAGGTAATACAGTTCAGATTATAACACCCCTCATAACTACCCCCAATAGCTCTTACAGGTCTATTCTGAGCAACAAACTAGTGAAATGGCATTCTTCATTTGTACACTAAAGGAGAAAGATTCCTTTGTAACCACCAAAATCAATAATCAGTATAATGCTGTCAAAAGTGATCTGTATTAAACATGGTAAATGTACCTGCAGTTTTCCAGGTAAACAAAACAGTAGATAAATCTGTTAATCAGTAGAGATGTCTGCAAGAGATTGATTTTATTTCCAGAGAGGTGGTTAAATTTACAAAATAAAAAAAAGAGGAGCTAGAGAGACTCATGAGGCTGGACCTCTTCTTTGGAAGTTCTGCCTGTTAATCCCAAACACACTTGGGTGCAGAGTGGAGAGACTGTGGCTATTTAAAAGTGAAGAAAATCCACTCTGCATATGTTCAAAGGCAATGTTTTACGCATTATGACTTGTCACATTGCCATGCTGAGCATGGAAAACAAGGGATTAAACCCTGGTTCAAATTAGCCCCTATGTTGGAGAATCTGAATTGAATCAGACACAATGAGACAGTACAATTATGTACAGGAGTCAATGTATCATTCAGAGCTGTCTGATTGGTGGCATTTTGGGAACACTTAATACCAGGTTATTATAGCAACCATTTCATTCCGCTAGCAATCAAAACGGATGGGAAGTTGTTTGCAAAGCTTTCAACTGGAAAGGTGCTTGTGCTTGCAGAGAGAACTGAGGCCAGTCAGGTAATATTGGCACAGGATTGGCACCTCCATGCACCTCCATACAATTCTCCTGTGCTCCAGGTTGCTTGCCTATACATCATGGCTATGCCTAATTTGCTGTTAGAGAGCCAGTGAGAGCAATTTGGAAAAGACAATTCTCTTTCACTTGAAATGTTAATTATATTGTAGTGAGGAATGAAGTTTTCAGGACCCAGTACAAAGAACCCATATATTTAGTTGCACAGAGGGTGAACAAACACTATAAATGCAAACTAGGCTTCCCCCAGTAACTTTCAATGTATCTATGTGCAGTAGAAAGGCATGGGAGCCCAATATTCATCATAATTGTACACTATGTGAACAGGCCCTTAGAAAATGTAATGCATGATTGAGCTGGGTGACATATTATACATGTCACAGGTTTAAAAAGGCACAACAATATTACCCATACTTTAGGTTAGGGATGGGGAAGCTGTGGCCCATCAGATCTTGCTGGACTACAGTTCCCACAATCCCCGACCATAGGCCTTGCTGGCTAAGGCTGATGGGAGTTTGGAGTTTAACAACAACTGGAGGGCTGCCACAGGATCCGCACCTGGGTTTTATTTACTAGCTGCAGGAAATAACGGTGTAGCACAGATACATTAGTTGGTCCTCGGAAATTGCGTAAGCCACATAAAGGGTGGGGCTATTCTTAGTTGTACAAGAACGAACTTGGGACGGAGAGCTTAATGAGATTTTGCAGTTCTTGTACTTAGCATGTACAAGAACAACATCGGTGTCAAAGCAACATCCATGGAACATCTACAATCCACATTTAGGTGGACCCATGAACTTTGCCTGTGAGCACCCAAACATGTCAGGAAATGACCAAGTGCGTAGTAAAAAAAGAAAAAAGAAAATCTGCTTATGATTTTCAGAAAGTAGCTTCACCCCTAGGATAATATCTAAAGCTTAATGTTGCCCCACTAAAGGTAATGGATTTTCTGCCACTGACATTAGTTATAGCCTTTACAGCTGAATTAATAGACCCAGCCATTAGTATGGAGACAGAAACAGAGATCTCACTGACAGCCTGCCTCAAAGTATATATTTTTTTTAAAAAACTGATATATATATGATGGAAAATGGAAATATTATATTCTGCTCATTCTGCCTCTGTGTACTAGAAGGAAACCACAAATGGCTAAAGTGAAACTTGCACAGAGATCTGAGGGTTCTTCTTTTCACTTTCCCTGCTGGTTCCTAGACATTTATTTTAAAAATTACATATTTACCTTGCAGCGCTGCTTGAAGGACTTTGATCTGCTCAGTCAGCTTCAGGTTATAACCCTTGAGGTAATGGTTTTCCATCTCAAGCTGTGAAACAGTAGAAGAAAACACTTTATGTTAAAAAAAAATCATTTGAAGTATATTTCTTTTACAAACAGTTCTGTCCAGACTTTTGGCTTTAATAAAATTTCAAGAAAATTAAGATAATTAATTGAAAGTTCCTACCTTCTTCGAAAGGAAGGCCTATCTCTAGGAAGAGTTCTCTTTGTCTTGTATATTTACGGCCAAACAGTACAACGATCTGCTTAACCAATAAGCTTGGACTTCACTAACTAAATTACTAAACAAGTACAGTGGTACCTCGGGTTAAGTACTTAATTTGTTCCGGAGGTCCGTTCTTAACCTGAAACTGTTCTTAACCTGAAGCACCACTTTAGCTAATGGGGCCTCCTGCTGCTGCTGCGCCACCGAAGCACGATTTCTGTTCTCATCCTGAAGCAAAGTTCTTAACCTGAAGCACTATTTCTGGCTTAGCGGAGTCTGTAACCTGAAGTGTATGTAACCCGAGGTACCACTGTACATAGGTTGTACTGTAAGCGTCTTTACTGGCCCAGTTCTACAGTTCATCGGCACACAAAAGAAGGCACACAGCTGTACACATCTCCAACAGTGCAATGCAGAAGTTTATATGTCACTGCAGAACAGGATATCCCCACTGAGGTGTCACTGCAAGCACCCCTTTCATGCCAATGCAGTTGTACAATTCTATGGACTAGGGGTGTGGAAAAAACAAACTGGCCATCACCTCTCTTAGTTTAGCTGTCACCCAGTCTTTAATTTTGGCAGCCTTTTCTTGGACAATTTTAGCATCATCCGCTCTCAGTTGCTTCTGTGAAGAAGAGAAATAGACAAATGTTATAAGACAGCAGCAGATCCATTTGACTTGAAGAAATTGCAGGTATAGCCATGGGCAACAGCTCACAATTCTTGCATAGCAGTAAGGAATATTCTGGAGACTTTGTGGAAACTTGCCCTACAAATCAAACTAGACCATTGAACTCAGGTGCCAGAAGGAACGCCTTTCCCCATAGTAATTTGCCTATGTGCTGAGGTCATATTTAGAGCCTCTCTACCAGGTGTTCCAGGCATCTGAAGTAAAGCTGGTGGCAAACAGAGAGAGCCTTCTCAGTGCATCTTTTCCCTTTTAATATATTCTATTATTGACTTAAATCACATAGCTGTTTCCCATGGTTATTTATTGCCAGTTGTGACAACTTAACTCTTCTGCCCCATACTTCTTTTTAAACTAATTTCTCTTTCTGCTCTTCTCTTCTCTTTCTGCAACCTGTTTGTAGTTATTAGATTTATTTATAATGAAAAAAAGAACGCCTTCTCAGTGCTGGCATTGTGTTTGTGGAATTCCCTCTGCCACTGAGAAGCGTGCCTGGCACCAACTGCATTATCCTTTATGTGCCAGGCATAATCCCCCCCTTCCAGTCTTAAAGAATTAATTAATTAATAATATTGTTCTTTTTCTAATGTATCAATTACTATTATGGGGGATATCCAGTTTTGTGCAAGCAGACACAATGAGACTTTTCCTTCCTCCCCATCCCTGCCACAGTTCTCTCGAATCAGCTTCAGAGAGACCCGCAACACACCAGAACAGATTTGGGGGCCATATGAGGGAAATGCAAGGGGAGAAAGAGGAAGTCCCATTGCATGAGTTCACCCATTTTATTTGGGATGTCACCTGTTTTATTTATGTATGTTATATTGTTTCTGCAAATTGCTCTGGAAACTCTACTCAAGGGCAGCAATAACTGTTTCAAATAAATAAATATTGGCCTGAGAAGGGGGAGACAGACATACCGTATTTTTTGTTCTATAGGGCGCACCGGCCCATAGGACGCACCTCGTTTTTTGGGGGGGGAAATGAATCAAAAAAATTATTTCTCCCCCCCTGCCGCGGCTGCCGCCCCACGCCTCGCGTGCTTCAGGCTGCAGGCTACCGCCCCAAGCCTCGCGCGCTCGGCGGGACCTCCTGCCGGGCGCGCACGGCTTGCAGACACTCTCCCGAAGCACGGGGAGCCCTCCGGCGGGCTCCCCGTACTCGGGCGACAGGCTGCCGCCCCAAGCCTCGCGCGCTCGGCGGGACCTCCTGCCGGGCGCGCAAGGCTTGCAGACACTCGCCCGAAGCATGGGGAGCCCTCCGGAGGGCTCCCGTGCTTCGGGTGACAAGCTGCCGCCCGAAGCCTCGCGCGCTCGGCGGGACCTCCTGCCGGGCGCGCAAGGCTTGCCGACACTCCCTGAAGCACGGGGAGCCCTCCGGAGGGCTCCCCGTGCTTCAGGGGCGACAGGCTGCTGCCCCAAGCCTCGCGCGCTCGGCGGGACCTCCTGCAGGGCGCGCAAGGCTTGAGGACACTCGCCGGGGCTGCAGGCTGCTGCATGCAAGCCTTGTGAGCCCGCGGGAACTCCCACCGGGCTTGCAAGGCTTGCGGATAGCTTCCTGAAGCCTGGAGAGCGAGAAGGGTTGGTGCGCACCGATGCCTCTCGCTCTCCAGGCTTCAGCGAAAGCCTGCATTCGCTCCATAGGACGCACACACATTTGCCCTTCATTTTTGGAGGGGAAAAAGTGCGTCCTATGGAGCGAAAAATACGGTAAATGCACTTTAGAAGCAGGAAGAGAAGCCATAATATCAGATGGTACCTTTCCCACTGGCTGCGGAGGCAAGATGTGTGTCCCAGCTGAAAATAGCTTAATTACCTGCTTTTCCAGCTGTGTCTCGAGTTTCTCGATCAGTTCATCCTTTTCTTGCACTCTGCTCACCAGCTCCTGGTATTTCTTGTGTACACTTGAACCGCTTGTTTTCATGTGGGCAAGTTTCAGCTTCTCTTCCATAACTTCCACCTGAAAGATTCCCTCACACTTTCATTGTAATGACAATGGGTGGGGAAAGGGAAGGAAACACATTGGACTCTTTGTGGGAATAGACTGCTTATTCACTAATGGACCCTTATTTGGGGCAGGGCAGATTCTTCTTAAAGAACTCTCACACATTTGTCCCTTCGTATAATCCCATCCACTAAAGTGCTGGTATCTGATGTTGAAAATATCACATTAGCAGCACTGCTCAGTCTAGTCTGAGGTAAGTCCCACTTCCAGGTAAGTGGATATACAACCTAAATATTCAAAAGCTCAAGGAAAATTTATTTTTCAGAAGATAATTAAAAGAAATGCCTGGAAGGCCTGTTATCTTCAGACAGCAAGATGGTCCCAAGTATACAAGAAGAAATAAGACATCAAACATGTCTTACAGGTACATATAAGTGGGGCACTGAATCGCCACTTGGCAGGCATTCTGCACCTGCCCCTTCTTTTTCTATGAACATGTCTCTCCCTCTCTCCATCCCAGCAGCTATGTTATCCGTCCCCTTCCAGGGTTTTGGACAGAAGCATTATAGGGATGTCATAAATAATTTGGTTGTGCCTGAGAGTACCTTCTCAAATGTAGTCTCCGCTTTTCTCTTTTAAAATGTTGACGGCGCCGGCGCCCTAGCCTACTGACCTCCTCCTCAAAGGCCTCAAATTGAGATTGGCAATGCCGTGTGGGATATTTCCCAGTCTATGTGCCAATTTCTTCATGAAAGCTGGTTATGCTCCAGTGGACATTCCTGGCCCCCGAGTTGCAGAAAGCTGTGTTTTGTCCTCCTGTCTGTCTACATTAGACAGAGAGAGGCAAACAGTCTCTCCCCTACGCTGAACCTGAAAGGCAAGCGTGTGGCACCCCAAGCCAGAAAGCTTAGCCTGCCAAGCTGCCGGTGTTTGGATCAGAGCTTGGGAATAATTACTAAGGAAAGAGCCCCTCCCAGCTGTCTGATGCCTGAGTGGTGACTCTACACTGAAACCTCCAAGCTGGGACAGTAACCATTTTGCATTCCTTATCTGAAGATAAGAGCACATTGAAGACACCATCCAAAACCCTGAACTCAAGGGCTGGAAAAAACACCCAACTTTAGGACTCAGCACACAAGTCCTTTCATTTCCTAGACGTCTTTTGCTTCCCTGCACAATATACCTGTTTGTGGGGTGGCAGCTCCACATGATGTATTAAACCACTTCCTAAGCCTGTCAGATTTAATTAAGGCATTTCGAAAGGCCTTTCCATTTCCCTTAGATAACGAGCTGGGTGGTGCCATTGGTAACAGGCAGCAGCAAACTCCAAGCCTCCAGGCCTGATTCACTCTGCCAAGTTTGGCCAGGATATGGCGGTCCAACCTGGACTGTAATTTTCCATTCACCTTTCCCCCTCCCCCTTTAAAAAGGGATGTTGAAGAATAGTATCCTTGGTAGCTTAACTGGATTCTGTGTGAGTCCCAAAAATTGCTCAGCAACTAAAAATGGTGGGAATAATCGGCCACAGAATCCCTGTGATCACACCCACACGATGCTTTTAAAGCACATTTATACCACTTTAATAGTCATGACCTCTCCCAAGGAATTCTGGGGACTGTACTCCCCACAGGGCTAAAATTCCCAGCACTCTTAACAAACTACAGTTCCCATGGGGGTTTTTTGTGTGGGGGAGAGACATGGGTTCCAAATGTATGGTATGGATATGAGTTGGAGAAGAACTCAAAGGCTATACTTTTTAGGCTTTGCCCACAGAACACAGTTCTCTCGCTGCTACAGCAAGGTTTAGAAACATGATTAAAAGCTTATAAACACTGTAAGGTGTAAATGTATCACCTGAAACTTAAAACCTTTGTATAATTAGAAATCTTGGGGGGCCCATCCAGCTGTAAAGGTTTTCACATGTTATGGGACTAGTGATATCAGAGAAGCTCTTACCTGTTTCTCTGCATTTTGGGCTCTCTGTTCTGCCTCAACCACTCTTTGCTCCAGTTCTTGCATCTTCAGAAGAAAATAAGACATGAAAAAATGTTTACTACCACTACTACTAAGGTAAAAGGTAAAGGTAAGGTAAAGGACCCCTGGACAGTTAAGTCCAGTCAAAAGCAACTATGGGGTGCAGAGCTCATCTCACCTTCAGGCCAAGGGAGCCAGCGTTTGTCCACAGACAACTTTCCAGGACTAAACCGCTACTGGCGCATGGAAGACTGTGATGAGCCGGCGTACAGCTTCTGGGTCATGTGGCCAGCATGACTAAGCTGCTTCTGGCGAACCAGAGCAGCACACAGAAATGCCGTTCACCTTCCCGCCAGAGCAGTACCTATTTATCTACTTGCACTTCGTGCTTTCGAACTGCTAGGTTGACAAGAGCAGGGACCAAGCAATGGGAGCTCACCCCATCACGGGGATTTGAACCGCCAACCTTCTGATCGGCAAGCCCTAGGCTCTGTGGTTTAACCCACAGCGCCACCCGTGTCCCTTTTAACAGCACTATCACCCGTCATTTTCTCATTAGTGAATTTTGACATTCATTATATGGTTGGAAAGGATACCTTCTGGTACATTTTATATGCTATTCACTACTCCTATAAGCAGCTTACTTAGAAGCCACCAGCTCACCATTAGCATTCAACTCACCATATCTCTTTGATAGACTTATGATAGATTCTGCATCACTATATAATCACTATTATGCGCAGGATCTTTTAATGTCTAGAAACGATTTCAAAGAGTGCTATTTACTTTATCACATATTCCCATGTCATGTTATTTACAGGTACGAGATTGACATAAATATTATGCAAATTCAACGGCATTTGGGGCCCAATTTACACAGGAGACTTCAACCTCCCATGTGCTCATCTCATGGGCTTGAGTGATTGATTGTCCTCCTATATTCTCTTGCTCCACATTCATTTTTGCAAAACATGCCCTTGAATAATGGTTCAACTTCACTGCCAGGAACAGCCCCATTTTTTCCAGAAGCGTCCTTTATTATAGTGTTCCAGGTTGGCAGAGATACTCAGCGCCATGCTGCGGTAATACCATGCTGAAGCACTGACTCAGCATTAATTTTGACAGAGTAAATGAAAGGATTTTAGAAAGCTGGTTCCCCCCTCCCCCAATTCAAATTTGATATCCAAGCTTCTGTTTGATCCTCGTTTTGCTGATGATCTACTACCATTGCAGTGCATGGATATTAAATCAGCTGGAATTACATTAAAAACATCCTGATCTCATGTAAGTAACTTCCCCTGCACTTCTTCTCAAGAGTCTGGCTTTCTCTGCGTCAATTCAGAGCTGTGTCTGCAGCTCCTTCCTCCTGCCCTGGCTTGGATTGGCTTCTCCTATGCCTTAATGAAGACCTCTAAATTACCTCCCCTCCCTTCACATTCTTCTTGGGAAAACAATATCTGCACACAGACTTTCCCTGCTGGAGAGGAAAAGAGGGCTATGGGTCAGTGTCCCATAGGTTCTTTGTTCTCACAAGCTTATATACAAGAGCTCATTAATTTTAATAATTGTCATAACGTTTTCCTTGGAGGGTTGTTTGAGGAAAACCAATGCTTTTGGATGGGGAGCAGCAATCCCATTTGGGTAAAAGTGCAATAACTCCTCTTGTAGAGTTACTATTCCCAGAGGGGAAGAGGGATCAATGTGATTTCTCCATCGTCTCAAGAAAGAGAATGGAGTGCACTTCTGGGGATGAAGTCAACCCATTAGCAGCACCAAAGTGACCTCCCCAGGGCACAAGCTTGGGCAGTGTGTATGGAAGCCCTGCGCTGCTCAGATGACAAGACACCCCCCCCTCGGCCACGCTGATATACTCCAAAGGAAAGCAGAGCAGTAAGTTGGCATCAGGAGTTGCTACAAGGATGCGTACAAGGCACCATCCATCTGTCTTATGGACTCTACTCCAGATTTGTGTAGGGTTTATTCCCTAGCTTTTTATTCTCCAAAATATATCCTGTAAGTTTTAGGGTCAGAGTTTCAGGGGGTTTAGGGTCAGAGTTTTCCTTTTCCTAGATGGGCAACCTTCTCAGGTTGACGAGCCCCATCTGCCCCTCACTTCCCTCTACAGCATGTGCAGAAAACCACCTTCTCGACCTTTGGACCCACTGTTGGTCTTGTCTGCTCAATCAGCTGGAGCCTGTCTTCGCACGCAGGGGAAGTCCCTAACTCACCAAGGGTCTGAGACTCATTGACTACCCTCACCTGGTTTAGCTGGTCGGTCACAGCCCTTTCCTGAGGTGTGGCTGCTGTCACATGCTGACAGTTTCTAGGAGTCACAGATGAGAGCTGAGTGCAGGGTGGGGACCAAATGTGGACAAACTACCCCAGAAGGAGCATACACCCCTACTTGGAATAATACCTGGAAATTAACATCCTTTTTGTCCCAAACCGAAACTTCAACTTCACTGCAGTACCATGGGTCACTGCACAGACATTACCATTTGCACATTATTGGTGATATTTCTGCTCTTGTGAACGATGGCAACTGTACCACTCTGACACTTGACCACTTTTTGGTATGGTTCATTGTCTCTCATGAGTAAGCTGAACGAGACCAGCATTTTAGAGACTGATCTCCCCAAGAAACCTGGGTTCTTTGAGAACAGAAGAACTCTACTTACCTCCCAACTGAATGAATACTGAAACTGTCTGCATTCATTAAAGATCTCATGGCAACCCCTGACAGCCTGCCAAACCTTCAGATAAGCTAATAAAAATCCATGTAGCCTGACTCAGTTTAAAAATAATTAGTATTCATCTTCCTTCTTACCACTTCATTGTCTTGCTGTGGGATGTTAAAACTGCTGCTCTGTTTAACATCAGACAAGAGTGTTAATTTCATGGTGCTTTTTGAGTATCATGTGTTATTCAAGGTTCCCCAGGGGCAAACTAACAATAAGCTGAGCATTCAGATTGCACTTTTTATGTATCATGTTTTGTAATACTGATGAGAAAACTGCACTGCACGGCTAATTAACTGTGAAACAAACATTGAAATGAGATGTTCAAAATTCGGTTCCTACGCTTCTGATCACTAGCCCACCAAGCTGTCCTCTCCCACGTGCTGTAGAAAGATAAAGCCCTATTATCGAACAGAATGATGTCTCAAAGGTGAGGACAGCGGCCAAAGATTCATGGCCCACAGTTCATTTGTTAACTGGGTCAATTATGCCGCCATGGCAACAGACTGCTATGTCACTCATCAACTGAATATTACCCCTCTTTCCCGTTGTGTGAACAACTGTGTAAGTAAATGCCAGTTACTAAAGACACGAGATTCTTGAACGCATTTCTAGATTAACTGGGTGAAGATGCATTAACAGTCAGTATGAACACCCTTCAAATGAGCCCATGAGAAAAGTACCCAGGAAATCCTGTATACACACATCTCCACTTCTAAGCTTAGTCAGGCATTCCTGCCAGAATCAAAGTATTTTTCTTTGGATTTTTACTCTCTTTTGTGTTAATTAGATTCAGCTCCATTTTCTCTCTCCATTTCTCTCTCTCTCTCTCAGTCCTTTTCTCTCTCTCCTGAGAGGCCCCACAGCTCATTTGTAACAGGGTCATCATGCTGCCATGGCAACAGCCTGCCATGTCACTCATCAAGAGAATATTACCCCTTTTCTCCTCTGTGCAACTGCATGGAAAAAAAAACCCCTGAGTACAAGTAAATGCCAGTTAGCAAAGGCATACAATGCATACAATTCTAAACTCCAGCACACTTTAATTTCCATGGAAAGCATCCAAAAAACATTTGAACAGTATCATTGCTAGCATTGCATTTGTTTTGAGTTTCTCAAGAGAGGCATGGCAGAACGCAGTGCAAAGAACTTTTATTACGACAGCATTCTAACAACCCTTCACATGTTTATTAAGGACTTGGGGGAAGGTTCACCCGTGTGTGTGTGTGTGTGTGTGTGTGTGCAGTCACTTGATAAGTTATCACTAGACAATTCAAAAGGTGAATGTTCAAAGCTGAATGTGTGAACTAAATCCTTCAAAAAACAACAACATTGAATTTGAAGAGCTATGCAGGGATATGCATGGGCATCCTGTGGTTTGTTCATTCATACATACAAGTCACCACTTGATGCTGCAGTTATCAAATGAGTCACTATAAACTGCCCTAGGAATTTGTTGAGGGGCGGGAAATTAGCAAACAAATTTGTGAACTAGCCCTTAAGGCTGAAATTCTGGTACTTAAGTTGTGTATTAGAATTGTGTGATTCAGTTCTTAAATTGTTCGACTGACTAGCTAAATCACTCACTAAATTACAAAATTAGTCAGTTTTCATTTTCAGCACTAAGGCAACCATCCTGTTAGCCTGAAAATGATGAAGAAAACCTCCCCTCGCTCCTAGCACTTCTGACAAGGCTTTGTTGAATTACAGCCTTTAACTGCTTACTCTTTGGCCTTCAGAGGAAAAACCACATCACAAAACCATACAGCCAGTTACAGAGTAACCTGATCACTGAACCAAACTGCTCCCTAATCCCAACAAAGGGTAGCTTGACACACCCACACCCCTAGGGCTGGATTAACTCCAGAGTCTTCATTTCCCTTTCCACAGGGGTGTCCAGCCGTCAGACAAGTTTATTGTGCTGTCACCATTCTGTTGGAATTCTTTCCGAAAACATTGACTGGGTGAAGATTTAAATTTAGGATTTCTAATGAATGAAAGAGGGCTTGGGGTTTAAATAACAAACACACGGACAGGGTGGGAATCAGGTTCTGAAATCATGATTTCAAAGCCATCTGAGTTCTTGTCCACATCCTCAGGCTGCTCTGAAACTTAAGCCAAATACATTTTTCTATAAGCTAACATTTAAAATTAATTTTATAATGTATGTTTTAATGGTAGTTTTTATTGTGATATTCTACTGCAGTTGGTGTTACTGTAATTAATTATAGTGTATATTTCAGAATGTTGTTAACTTAGATAATTTTTTTTAAAAAAAATCAGTCCATTAATAAGCAAATTAAAATATGGCAGGCAATTTCTCTATACCTTCTTATAGGGTACTGTATCAAATTTAAGTTGAAACTGTTTGATTTTTCATTATAAAGACTTGATTTTGAAACATATGTCCCTGGCCTCTTCATGGGGGGTTACAATCTCTCTTACTAGCTATCCTCATCCAAAGGTTTAAGAATAAGCAACCTTGTACTTTGATATTTTTTGTAGTTTTGTAGCTTTTTCATTATTATTATGGAATTTTCTTTTGTAATTTTGGTTGCCTATATTTATCTGTATTTGTTTAAAGCAAAATAAAAGTATTAAAAAAAAAAAGAAAGAATAAGCAACAAAGACTGGTTACAAAATGTAGCTTTTGCCTCACCTTCTCAGCCAAAAGCTCCCGGATCCTACTAGCTTGCAGGCGGAATTTGAAGAGCTGTGTCTCCAATGCAAGACATCGTTTCTGCCAGTCCATGCAGCTACCATTCTCAACAGCGAGCTCTGCCATTTTGAATGCCTTCTCCCTAGACCGACCTCAAGATGTCCTAAGTGAGCAAGACAAAGAAAAAAAAGACAGAAATGTCCATAATGCTATATGAATTGTCTTTATAGATATATTTTTAAAGCACACCCAATACACATTTAAAACACATTCCTTTGACTTCGCCCAAAGAACCCTGGGAATGGAAGTTTCCCCCTCACAGTTACAATTCTTGGTCCCGTTAACAAACTACACCTCTGGAGATTCTTTGGGGCAAGTAATGAGCTTAAAACATGCATTGGATGTGTCTTAAACATATGGGGGGGATGTTCCCTAACAGGAGAATTTCCCATGTATGCATGGGAAATCATGCCTCTTCCAATCTAGCTATGGTAACATTATATTGTGCATTGCAGGGGGCTCGGCTAAATGACCCATGGGGACCCTTTCAACTATAGAATTCTATGATTCTATGTCAGTTTACACAAAACCAACTCTGCATTCAAATTTTAAACACTTGGGAAGTTTAGCAGAATCCAGAATGAAGATTCCAACTGTAAACAAACTTTTAACAACTAAGACTTCCAGGACAAGAGCTTCAATCAAGCCTGATTAGAAGATTAGGCAAACGCAAACAGCCTAAGCCCTTAGACTATGGTATAAACTCACTGTTGTTCCAAACGGTACAGTGAAAGAGTTAACAGAACCTTCTTATCAGCTCCTAAAGATCACATTATCAAAGTTACTCTGGTTTCCATATGGTCTCTCTCTCCCCCCAGTTTAGCTATCTTTTGGACCACCAAGCTGCACTAACTCTTAATGTTTCCCAGGGTCATTCTGGTAGCCTGTCAGTGCGTATTTAATCTCCTGGTATGTAGGTTCAGCTACAAGAGCAGGAACGATAGGCCTGTTGCTTAGCTAATGCTTAGAAATCACATAGCCAATATGCCCCTTTCATTAGAAGCCCATGAGCTAATTGAAGTGGGCAGCAGAAGACACAATGCACTAAGTGTCCTCATGGATGACAGAAGCCCTTCCATGACAAAGCTTTGGCTATGAATTATCCAAGTGAAACAGATAATAAGAGAACAAAGATAAAGCTTCATTCATTATATTTCATTGCCACAGTCTGAAAAATATTTAGCTGAGGCCCTTTGTCCATTTTAATCACCTTTGGAAGTCCCTTTTGCTTGTCCCCAAATTTAATGAATGGAAATGGAAAGATATGCTGAAAAACTGGAGGGGTGAGCATAGAAATTAAAAACTTTGGAACTATTCTGGTGATTTAATTCAGCCTTGCAAATAAGCCCACAAAAGGAGACAGCCTCCAATATATACTTTTTACCAGCCTGCCAAGGGCTGCCAGTGGAGAGAGGGAGCCCCTCCTGCAGCATTTCTAAGCTGCGTGTGGAAAGGGGGACTTCACTCCTCCAGCAGCCCACTTGGTTTCTGTGTTGGCCACAGAGAAGTGATGGAATGCTCCCTCTCTCCTTGGCCATCCTGCATATAATTTTTTGTCTGTCACCTATGACTACTAAAGTGCTGAAAAACAAAGCTGAATCAATTAACAAGCATAAAAACTTGAGGGAACAGTTTTTTGTGTTTTTCATTGGAAATCTGCCTTTGAGGGTTAATCCATTCCACCCTGTTGGATGTGGGAATGAGGGCTGCATGGATGCCATCAATGCACATAGTACTGTCAACCATGCAAATGGAATATATATATATATATATATATATATATATATATATAGTCTGAACACTCAGCTCACATAAGAACACAGTTGAAATGTTTTGGCAGACGCCCACTCTATTTTTCTGCTGCCCTCCGTCTATCCAATATATCCATTCCTGATCACTTTCGCTACCAGGTGTGTCTGATTCATGATTGCATCAAGCTGTTGTGAGCTTCAGAGCGCTGAACTGATGTGGGGGCACTGAATTAATTGCCCATAGCATCACATGAATCCAGAATGACAGAACATCCATATAAAATGAACATATAGAGACAGGAAATACTCCTTTAAAGATTTTACTGAGCACATGTCCCTATCACATTAAGCATGTGTACCAGAAAGTGATCTCAGTGGGACTTACTTTCAAGAGAACATATCTAGGATTGAGTTGCAGGCTTTTTATATTGCATCTTATGGACCACTTGCCACAGAATGGAGTAGCCTATTTTGAAGAATGGCTAGATGATACATTTCCAGTTTGGTTCTCTACACTCCCATCTTGTCAAACCTGACATGCCAAGGATAGGAGATGGTGAGGAAGAAACTTGCCTATATAATATGCATCATCATAGATTTGTGGAGTTGGAGGGGGCCTTGTAGGCTACCTAGTACAACCCTCTGTTCAATGAAGGACATCCAGAGCTAGAGAAACATCGCCAATGGATTGCTGTCCAGCAAACACTCCAGCAAGGGAGAGCCCCTCCCCACCTCCATTTAATTTTCAGGTCTGCCACTCCATTATCTTTCTATTGAAATGGAACACACATACTAAACACTGCAGAATAATGAAAATTGTACTGTCCAGGCATCCAAGACAAAAGTAAGTTAAAGCAACAATGGTATTACTTCTTTCACTGCAATATGGACAGATCAGTATCGGACAGTATGGAGGGGCACCCCTGCTCACATGGCCTCTGGTCAGTCACATCACTGCTGTTCACTGAGTGGCAGAGGGTGAAGGGTAAGCTGGCAGAGAAGATGGCAGGGTGGAAACACACTGGAAGGAGGCACTCAGTTGGTTCTGCTCCTGCATCTGCACCGCACAAACCTTGCTGCAGCCTCCTCCCTTCCCATCTACTTCTCAAAAAGCCATAGCAACAGAACTACCCAGCAGTCAGGTGAGCAGTGGCACCCCACTCCCAGCAGTGAAGCTGCATGCTCCGCTACCGGGGGGCAGAGAATTGGCGGGGGCATGGCTGGTGATCCTGGGGGTGTGGCGCACATCCCAGGGGCGTGGCATGCTGCCTGCGAGGGCGTGGTGAGCCGCCCACAGGGGCGTGGCATGCGTTCTGGGGGCGTGGGGTGCCGTCTTCTGTGGGGGCATGGTGCCTGGTGCACATGGGGGTGCGGCGCGTGGTGGGGGGGCCGCCACAATGGCACTCTACCGGAATAGTGGTGCCGGGGGCGGTCCGCTGCCTCCACAACCCCGTTCCTCCGCGAGTGCCCACCCCACCACCAGCTACTGAGCAAGTTTCTGTTATATATATATCAATAGGGAAAAGCCTAACAGGCATAGCTGCAGTAAAATTCCATATCAAGGCCAAAAAGCTAAAGAGTTAGCCCCTAGTTACGTACCCAGCTACCAAGGCCTTTTGTTAAGCAGAACATGGTGCCTTATTGTAGGAAGGCAACATTGGGTCTATTACTTATAATGAAGTCATGGACAGCATTCTTTTCTCATGGGAGAACAGGCTTGAGGTGAAAGACACAGCATAAAGCCAGCTGAGTCCTTGCTTGTATCAAGAGATAAACTTGTACAGAAATCCTTGTAATGATTAGGGGGGGGAAACAAAACATTGAATTTGACCTCTTTCTTCTATCTGCTTGTTTTTTTAAAAAAGTTACAAGAGCTCAGAACAAATTGTATTCATCATAATCAAAAGCCTACCACCCATTTTCCAATAATAAATCACTTTGCAGTACTAGATTAGTAGGTGTATTGTGCCATTTGCAGACAATCTTATGATATCCACTATGAATGCATCTATCCAGAGAGGAATGCAAAAAATGTAATCAAGGATTCATCATTAAGGCTTGATCTTAGAGGTTATAATGGTAGTACATGCAGTTTTCTGGAGAAAACATGTCCATACTGTTTCACATATGCCTTTTTAAAAACACAGTTTATTTACCCAAAAATGTTGGTTTTGCATCTAACATAACCATTATATAGCAGAACCTAACTATTTATCTTTTCTTTTTTCACTTCTCATTATGTCAAAGGTATACAAACTAATCAACATGGCATTTTTAAGATATATGTATCATGTGAAATACATATTAATGCAATTACATTTCTTTACAAACACATGCATTACTTAGATTTCTTTACTTGGATGGCAGCCCTTAGTCGAATAATCACATGAGTTTTAGGGGGTAGCCAATTTCAATTCTAGGTTGCAACAACAGATAGTGTCCAGATCAAGGGAAGTACATAGGACCACACTATTCTGTCTTGGTCTGACCTGACCTGGACTACTGTAACTTTTTGTCAATTAAATTCATTAGATATTGCAGTCCTGGTGTTTCATATATACTTGCACCAAGGTGCAATACTAAAGACAGTTTCCCGCCACCTGTGCTCATTTGCCATCTCAAATTAAGACTGCAATGCTATAAACATTTACCTGGGATAACAGACATTTTAGGACTGCACTTCACTTTACCACTTCAGAAGTTTCATATCTATATTATCTGGTTTCATCTCAAACTGTACGCAGCTGGTGGAAAGCACTACCATACTGATACTCACTTTTGCGTGGGTTATTCCATTACAAATAGCATTATATATTTGTAATTATGAAAGAAAGCGAAGGTGGGAAATTCACAAGGAGATCACTTTCAAGCTCCTGTTAAGACTGTTCTGCTCAATGAGAGTTTTGCCAGTTTTAAATCTTGCCTAGTCTCAGGGGGTGATATCCAACTAATCCATCATACTCAAAGCATACCAATTAAAATTAATGGACAGAAGCTACTTGTCCATTGATTTCAATGGCTTTAGTCTGAGTATGACTAAAGTTGGGTATAATCCAATGAGTTTAGTACAGGCTCTTTTGGGAGCTAGTTATTGTCGGCATCCATGGGAACCAAAGGTGGACAAACTACCCCAGAAGGAACACGATGTGTTCCCTACCAGAGGTACTATCCTGACACCCCATGAACCCCATGGGAGCTAGTATGGACATGGTATTTAATATGATAACTGCTGCTCTAAAGGTTTTGTTGGTGAAACAAACGGAGGACACTACACTTTAACAACTGTGCATGTGTGCCTAACCAGGCAAGATGGTG